TGGGGGGCTGCACTGTATATGGGGGGCTGCGCAGTATATTGTGGGGTCTGTGAAGTATATTGGGGTGGCCTGTGTGTTAAATGTGGGGGGCAGTGTGTTAGATGGAGGGGCTGTTTGTTACATGTGGGGGGGCAGTGTATTATATTTGGGGGCTGTGCATTAGATGGTGAGCTGTACAGTACGTGTGGCCTTTGTGTTAGATGTGTACAACCCTAGTTTCACAGAAAAATATTTATTTCCTAGATATCATATGCCATGGCATGCTTTTTGCTATGAAACCACAGCCATCTAGTCACTCGCCAGAGAAGGATGAGAAACTGCACCCCAGCGAGAGGGACAGCCCCACATCTGCAACCAAATCCGTCGGTCACCGAATTCAGTAATCTCCGTCTCTTTGTGCATTGTGTATGTATGGTACTCCCAATTCTTATATTTAATCCGGTGTGTCTCCCACAATCTTTGTGTCTGTCTGCTGTATGTATGTGGCACACAAGTCTGCATGCACTGTGTCTGTTATGCCAGTTACTCTAACCAGTTTATTTATTTTTGTGTGTGTCACAGCTCTGACAAGCATGTTCTCCTATGGGACACGAAGTACATGAAGAGGAATGAAGAAGCCCATGTTTGATGCTCGTCTCCAGGGTGGAGTACTGAATTTATAACTAATGAAGTGGCATCTGACACATGACAAGCTGCTCCTGTTTGCACAGCAACTTCAACATTGTGTACTGTGATCACGGCATAGTTCAGAGGTAGGTAACCTTGGGCAGTCCAGATGCTGTGAATTACATCTCCCATAATGCTGGCAAACCATTATGGGAGGTGTAGTGCAAAACATCTGGAATACCGAATGCGGATGAATGCAATGTATGGTGTGTGTGAATGGTCAGTAACAAGGGTTGAAGCCTTGACGTGGCGTTACTGCTCACATATGTATTCATGTGCCAATTCAACCAATGTGAGTCACTGTAATACTTATAAGGTAACCAAAAGTACTGTGATTGTGGAGAATGAAACGCCTGTATCTCCTACACACTGCTTACACTGTGACCGTATCTCCTAAACACTGCTGACACTGTGACCGTATCTCCTAAACACTGCTTACACTGTGACCGTATTTCCTAAACACTGCTTACACTGTGACCGTATCTCCTAAACACTGCTCATACTGTGACCGTATCTCCTAAACACTGCTCACACTCTGACCCTATCACCTAAACACTGCTTACACTGTAAGCACAGACATGCTTTTATTCAAAATTGAAAGCGCTCGATCATTCTTTCTATTCTACGCCTCCAATCTTCAACATTGAAATTGTCATTTCTAATAATATAAAATAAGTAATATGCTTTCTGGTTACGATTTGGTGGGTTGTAAATATTTTTTTTATTCTTACAGTTCCAGAGGGAAGGAGCAAACCGCTTTGAGGAGTCCCTGCATAAGAGACTATTGGATACTGAAGGGCTGTACTGCAGTGTCGGCTCTAGACTTGGCGAGGCCTTAGGCGAAACTCATACATGAGACCCCACGGAGAACACCATTATTGAAGAAAAAATAGCAGTTGACTTTGTGTATAAGAAGCTGTAGATATATTGATGGTGGAGCTCAGTGGTGTATCCTGGTTTTGTGCTGCCCTAGGCAGGACAAAACTCAGACGCCCCCTCCCCCGCCACCCCCACCCAACCCTTCCCCCCGCCCCGCCTTCTAAATACACACACACACACATTCACTGACAGATATGCATACATTAGCTAACAGAAACAGACACACTCACTAACAGACACAGTCAGACACACACACACTAACAGACACACTCAATTTTTTTTTTAAATTTACCCCCCCAGCCTCCTTACCTTTGCTAATGCTGGGGGGGTTCTCTATCTCCCTGGGGTCTAGTGGGGCTGCCGGTCGGGCTGCTGGGCTGGTTGCAGGGGGGGCAGACGGGCAGCTGGCGAGGGAGCACTTCCTCTGAGTTGTCTGCTCAGCTCCCTCACGCGCCGCATTGTGAGGCTGGGAGCCGGAATATGACGTCATGTTCCGGCTACCAGCCTCACTCTGTGGCGCGCGAGGGAGCTGAGCAGACAGCTCAGAGGAAGTGCTCCCTCGCCATGCCGCCCGCCAGCCCAGCATGTCAGTTAGCCACAAGGCTAACAAGGCATTTGCCCTGGGCATTTGGGGGCGGCAAAAAAAGCCGCCCCCAAATGCCCAGGGCAAATGCCTTGTTTGCCTCGTGGCTAAAACGTCCCTGGTGGAGCTTGCAGCACTGGATACACAGAGCTAGTCTCTGTTTACATCATTGCATTGTCTACCTGAGTGTGTGTATCTGACAGTGAGTATCCTTGTATCTGTATGTATGTTTCTCTGAGCATGTGTATGTTTGTGTACTGACTGGCCTTTGGCACTGAGTTTATAGCGTAGCTATGTTTTATGACGGTGTGTATAATGATTGCCTTTGGGGGGTGACAGGGTGAGTAAAGGGGTAACTGTGGCAGGGTGAGTGTAAAAGAGCAGGAGGGTGCCTGCGTGTTGAGGGTTGACGGTGTGCATGGAGGGAGGTGCCAGAGTGCGGAGAGTGGTGGCCGTGTGGGGAGGGTGACATAGTGTGAGAGGGTGGGTGATGAGGTGAGGGGGGAATGACAGAGTAAGAGAGGGGTAACGTAATGTGAGAGTATGGGTGACAGAGTAAGGGTGAGTGAGAGTGAGGGTGGGCGACATAGTGTGAGGAGGATGACAGAGTGAGGGGGTGATGGTGAGGTGACCGTAAGAGGGGGGTGACAAGGGGTGATGAGGTGAGGTGACAGTAAGGGAGGGGTGACAGGGTGATGACAGAGTAAGAGGGGGGTGACAATAACAATATCTGATATTAGGCCACATGTGCAATTATTATGTAATTAATGGACAACATACTTTTTCAATTTTGTTAAATTAGAAATTAAATATTGTTTGTCTTTTTTATATTGCCACTTTAAAAAAAATTTAAACTCTTAATTTTTAAATGTACAGTAATTTGTCTGTAATAATGTTAACTTGTTAATTATTGTGGGACAGTGGAGAGCAAACCCAAACTGGGACTGTACTAAACAATCCAGGACTGTTAGGAAATATGGCTTTGTAACAACATATGATAATTTATGGTGCATATAGGTCCTCTTGTCACTGTGCCTATGCATAGTTTTGCTTATAAATGTGATGACTTTCAAAAGATAGCAATAAGCATAGTAAGAAGTTGCTCTTTAAAAGCCCACGTCATCTTGTTTAAATGGTTTGGGTGCAGTGCCAATGTCCCCTTAACCCTGCAATGTTAAATATTGCAGTTTCTGAGAAACTACAATGGAACGCAGCTAGTGATGGTATTATTTGGAGCTAAGTAACACAAATCGCATGTTAAGGTGTCAGCAAAATACTTTATTTCTTCAAAGTTAATATGCAATTTAGACTTTATATGTATAGTGGAAAAAATATAAAAGTCAAATTTAGAAACTGGTTAAGAAAAGTCACACTGTAGTATCCAAGAAGGAGAAAGTTCAATCACATTTAAAGAAAGGCTGTATGACATTGGGAAGGTAGTATCTTAATAATGTAATGGTCTCTTTCCCTGGACAGTCCACGATTCTTAATCACTGGAAAATGAAGGTTAAATCATGTCTGCAGCATGTGTTCCAAAACAGCCATATGGACGTTTTCTATAGAAGAAGGTAACCTCTTCTGTTTAAGCAGGTCGAGGTTAATGGTGGTGGGTTTGTCTCTGGCACCGGAACCATCAGTAAAGGAGTGTAAAATTGAGAGGATCACCTTGTTCTTCCCACAAATGTAAGAAAACACAGAACAAAAGATTGAGGAGAGTGGTTAACAAATCAATGAAACCGCAAACACTAAAACTAACTTGAAAAAAAAAAATAACATTCACAGTGTAAGCAGTGTTTAGGCGATTGGGTCACAGTGTAAGCAGTGTTTAGGAGATACGGTCACAGTGTCAGCAGTGTTTAGGAGATACGGTCACAGTGTGAGCAGTGTTTAGGAAATACGGTCACAGTGTCAGCAGTGTTTAGGAGATACGGTCACAGGGTAAGCAGTGTTTAGGAGATACGGTCACAGTGTAAACAGTGTGTAGGTGATACAGGCGTTTCATTCTCCACAATCACAGTACTTTTGGTTACCTTATAAGTATTACAGTGACTCACATTGGTTGAATTGGCACATGAATACACATGTGAGCAGTAACGCCACGTCAAGGCTTCAACCCTTGTTACTGACCATTCACACACACCATATTTTGCATTCATCCGCATTCGGTATTCCAGATGTTTTGCACTACATCTCCCATAATGGTTTGCCAGTATTATGGGCGATGTAATTCACAGCATCTGGACTGCCCAAGGTTACCTACCTCTGATCTATGCCGTGATCACAGTACACAATGTTGAAGTTGCTGTGCAAACAGGAGCAGCTTGTCATGTGTCAGATGCCACTTCATTAGTTATAAATTCAATACTCCACCCTGGAGACGAGCATCAAACATGGGCTTCTTCATTCCTCTTCATGTACTTCGTGTTCCATAAGAGAACGTGCTTGTCAGAGCTGTGACACACACAAAAAGAAATAAACTGGTTAGAGTAACTGGCATAACAGACACAGTGCATGCAGACTTGCGTGCCACATACATACAGCAGAACAAAAATTGTGGGAGACACACCGGATTAAATATAAGAATTGGGAGTACCATACATACACAATGCACAAAGAGACGGAGATTACTTAATTCGGTGACCGACGGATTTGGTTGCAGATGTGGGGCTGTCCCTCTCGCTGGGGTGCTGTTTCTCATCCTTCTCTGGCGAGTGACTAAATGGCTGCGGTTTCATAGCAAAAAGCATGCCATGGCATATGATATCTAGGAAATAGATATTTTTCTGTGAAACTAGGGTTGTACAAATCTAACACACAGGCCACACTGTACAGCTCCCCATCTAACGCACAGCCCCCAAATATAATACACTGCCCCCCCCCACATGTAACAAACAGCCCCTCCATCTAACACACAGGCCACCCCAATATACTTCACAGACCCCACAATATACAGTACAGACCCCCCATATACTGCGCAGATCCACCCCAATACACTGTGCAGCCCCCCTATATACTGTGCAGACATCCCCCATATACTGCGCAGATCCACCCCAATACACTGTGCGCCCCCCCCTCCCTATATACTGTGCAGACCCCCCCCCCCATATACTGTAATCTCCCCTCGGATGGCTGAGAGTGTTGGGAGCAGGGGGAGACTCACCTGTTTTAATCCAAGGATGGGAGTCCGCGCGTGCGCAGTATAGGGGTAGGGAAATTTGATGGCCATTTGTGTCTGTCCTGTGAAATTTCCCTACCCCACATTGCGCATGCGCGGACGATTTTGTCCGCGCATGCGCAGTATAGGGGTAGGGAGATTTAACAGGAGAAATGGCCATCAAATTTCCCTACCCCAGTACTGCGCACGCGCGCTGTACCTCCGACGGGAGTACTAGACGCGCGTGCGCAGTGCGGCGTTAATCTGCCCTGCTCGCTGTTAACATTCCCTACCTGGAGGTTGTGCGCCTGCGCGATGCGGCACACCTCCTCCTCTATTGGTTGGACGTCACTTCCGGTGCGAGGTATGTCTTTTTGATAGAACACCTGCGTTGGGGGTCCCAACGTCACTTCCGGTGCGGCTTCGTCACCGGAAGTGACGCGGGTAGGGTTGTCTAACAGGGTAGGGAAATGTGATAGAACACCTCCATGTAGTGTGACGTCACTTCTACTTTCTATTTCTAGATGTCCAGCTTTGAAGGAGGTGAGTGCACTTGAATGTGCCGCGCGGTTGCATGGTCCAACCGCTCCGCGCGGCATACTGAGGGGAACTCACCCAGCACCACCGTGGAACAGTTACCGTCATTGTCTTGTTGTTTTCTCTCCTCTGTTTCCTATGATTTGGCTGCTTCTTTTCCCGGCTTCCGCTAAAGGAGACGCCCCAGTGCCACCTCGTAGTACACACTAACAGTATAACCGGAGCAGGGGCTTCTGCCAGGCCTAATCCCCACCCCCGCCAACCCGTACTTCTTGCAGACTTGATACCGCCTAGCTCTCTCGGGGAAGGACATTCCCACCATGGGTACAGTTAACACTCACCTACATGCTAATCATAAACCCAATGGTGTATCTTCTCTTAGAAAGCTCAGACAGTCACTCTAACAAAAACTAAAACCCTCAACTCACATACCTACTCAGGCACTTGGCACCACTGCTTACCCCTCTATGTACTTCTGAATGTACAGGTTACTCACAGACACTCACAAATGTTCTTAGTGAATGTGAAATGAAGAAAAATAAAGAATATAAAAAATAAAATCTATATATTACACACATCAATATCTCCACATCCATGTGGCAAGGTGTGGTAAAAGTACTGAGACAGGTGGATTTACCTGTGTTTCACTGCCTTGCTCCTGGCTTAAAGGAACTCCCCAAGCACCATAACCAATCCCACTAAATATTGTAGGGGTAAGAGGGGGCGTTCTAATATTGTAACATGCACAGATATAACAAGTTTGGATTTTTTATGTATATTTCTTACACTAGATGTGTGCTACTTCTGTACAAAACCCCATATTGTCTTCTATGCCTTTGTCACTATTCTGTGACGTTGTTGTGACATGTAAGAGACGTGATTATTTTAGTTTTTACAGTTAGAATTTTGGTAAATGTACTTGATTTTCATTTGAGCACCAATTTCAATTAAGGTTTGTGGTTTTTTTTTAAGTTCAAATATTGCAATCTAGTTTATTTTGTAAACTTGATGTGTGCTAACATAATAAAAATTTGCTAAATTGTGCTCAGGTATATCTGTCACGGTTAGCCACCCCAAAATGCTGAATGTGTACCCACCAGAACTAAACAGAGAAAACGTATTACTAGTCCTTGAAATAATAGTTTAATATAGATAGGAAAATAGTAAAGGAAAAATCCAAGTAAAAAGGGAGCCAGAAGTTGGAAAAGCAAGCGACATAGCTGGATCAAGGATACCAGATAAAACAGTAATCAAGGAAAGCAGAGTCAAAAGCACAGTAATTAATTTTTTTTTTTTTTTTTAAAGTAGTAAGAATGTACTTTTGAGACTAATAAAGATACAACATGCCGTTTGCGTCATAGCAATGCCCCCAAAACGTAAGGGGATATTGCAAATTTAGCCATTTTGTATCATTAATGTGATGACGATGTGGATGCATAGTGTCATAAGGCGTCTGTGATGAAGAGAACAGCATGATGCCACAATGGAGCACTATATCACGAAAAGGTGCATACAGGGTGTAGAACACCGGCACATTCATCCTTACAATATCTCGTGTACATGACGACCCTATTCACAAGTTTTAAATACATGTCTGAATTTATAACCAGCCCAGTGTAGGTTTTAAAACCAAAATAGCAAATGAAAGATGGGCCTATGATGCATTTGTGGAATTTTAGTAGCTCACATATTTAAAGTACTTCGTAAATGGATACCATTTGCAAATGTGGACACCATGGGTACTCTCACATGATATATTTCGAACTTTATTGATGATCCATTTTTTTTTCCAATTTGTGCCACTGCAATAAAATTACCTTAAATATACTTGGCAACATCTGATTACAACAATAACATATTTTATATGCGAAACCAAACCCTAATTCTTAACCGAGTTATGCCAAAACTAAACCTAATCCTAATCATAAACCCCACCCTAACCCAAAACCTAATGCTATGCCAAACCCTAACTATAATCCTAATTTTGATCCTAGCAATAGTTTTAGAAAGATTCAATGTCTTGCTGGCCCTAATTTTAATCCTAATCCTTAAACTAATCCTAAACCTAGAGAGAACAAAAACAAAATCACCATAAGGTCAAAAGGACCAAATATGGCAAATTGTCAGTGCAGGTAGTACCAGGGTATTCTGGGCATCTACCATAAATTAGGGAACAGCAAACACAATTGAAGCTTATGCTAGCTTTAGTGTACTAATAATCTTAATTTTAATAAGGAGAGGAGGCGAGTATTTTGCATTAACTCTCTTTACTAAACTCCATAGCAGTAAAGAAAAATGTAAAGAGTAACAATAAATCAATGAGCAGCATAGTCTATATAAAGGTCAAGCTGCCTGTACACTTCCTCTTTCTTTAAGAGACATCCAAGTCCTGACTGAACTCGAAACAACCAGGAAACCAAACGAAACTAGTAGAAGCGGCTTCTGTGGAGCGCTGAACTTGAGGAGACTCCTGGCAAGCGAACGACGAACGACGTTAACGGAGCGGTAGGAGCGACCCGTTGAAAACAAGGACGAAATAAAATTGGGAATCATGGAAATAGGTGCTGTAAATCGATCGGAGTCCGGTTCCACGCACCAAGTAGACCAGGAGGCCCAAGCTGAAAGGTAGCAGCGTCTAGTTCCGGGGGCCCAGGAATCCCATAAGAGGTCCCTAGTAGTCTGCGATAGTCTGCTGACTTGCCAGGAACCCCTGAAAGAGTCCAAGCCACAAGGGGCAGACAGTCTTCCAAGAGCAGTGGGTGAAGATCCCTTTGGGATCCGTGAGCAGGTCCGGGAAGGATGGTAGAAGTAGACGGTCCTTGCATGAGGAGGCCAGGAGATCCGGGAACCATGGTTGGCTCTGCCACAAGGGCGTTATGAGAATCAGTGTCACATGTTGCGTCCGGATCTGGTGCAGTGTTCTCGCAATCATGGCGAATGGGGGAAAAGGCGTAGGCCCCGGTGGTCGGCCAACGTTGGAGAAATCCGTCCGTCGCTTTGCACTCCGGGTCCGGGAGCCAGCTGAAAAACTCCGGGGTCTGGTGATTGTTGCGGGAGGCGAACAGGTCCAGATGAAAGGGACCCCTCCAGGCTGTGAGGGCCCGGAATATTTTCGTGTCCAGCTTCCAGTTGCTGACGTCCCTCCAGTGACGGGAGAACCAGTCGGCCATGAGATTGATCTCTCCGTGGAGGTATTCGGCCTGGAGTGCGATGTTGCGGGGGAGACAAAAGTCGAAGATGTCTTTCGTGATGTCTGACAGAAGGCGGGAGCGTGCACCCCCCAGGCGATTGATATATCGGACTGCGGAGACGTTGTCCATGCGAAGGAGGATGCAGCAGTTGGATTTTTCCTGAGCCAGGCTGCGGATCGTGAAGGACCCCGCCAGGAGTTCTAAGCAATTTATGTGCATGGAGAGCTGTGACGTCCATGTTTCGAGGAAGTGGTCCCGTTGGTAGCGCCCCAGCCCCACAAGCTGGCGTCGGACTCCAGTATAAAATCCGGGGAATCTCCGAATATGGCCCTGCGGTTCCAGGCCTGCATGCTGTCCAGCCACCATGATATTTCTTCACGAACCTCGGCCGTCACCGGGACGGGTTGATCGTACGTGGGATCTTGCTTTGAGCCGTTGCATGGCCCTGTAATGGAGGGGGCACGGGAATACGGCCTGAATGGAGGCAGAGAGGAGTCCCACATTTCTTGCTAAGTTGCGTAGCGGGATGGAATCGCAACAAAGTACTCTGCGAATTTCCTTGCGAATAGACAAGATCTTTGAGGATGGTAGTCTCAGAGTGCACGATGTGGAGTCAATCTCGAAGCCCAGGAATTGTATCGTCTGGGAGGGAGTCAATTCCGATTTCTGGTGGTTCACTACGAAACCCAGGGATTCCAGTAGCGTCACTGCGAGACGAGTGTGTTGACGCAGCCTGAACTCTTCGGAGCAGAAGAGGATGATGTCGTCCAAGTAAATGACGCACCGGATGCCCCTGGACCGCAGGTGGGCTACCAGTGGCTTCAGGAGTTTGGTGAAACACCATGGGGCCGAGCTGAGCCTGAAAGGGAGGCAGGTGAATTGCCAAGGACGGCTGTGCCAAAGGAATCGGAGAAGAGGTCAGCAGTCTGGATGCACTGGGACCGACAGGTATGAGTCTTTTAGGTCGAGTCTGGTAAACCAATCGTTGCGTCGCAGGAGGTCTCGTAGCAGATGGATGCCCTCCATCATGAAGTGGCGGTACACCACGTATGCGTTAAGGTCGCGCAGATTGATGACAGGGCGGTATTCCCTTTTTGCGGACCAGAAAGATATTGCTGAAAAAAACCTCCCAAGCCGTGGGCCAGCTGGATGGCTCGCTTGTCCTGAAGTTCGCGCAGTTCCATGTCGACGAGATCGTGGTCATGAGGCGCAGGGGGTGTGCCTGAACGGGGGTCCCCACCAGGTCTATGATGTAGCCCTGTACTGTTTGCAGAATCCACGTGTCTGACGACAGGGCGGCCCAATTCTGGAAAGAAAGGGAAATACGGCCCGCGGTGCGGGTGCATGGTAAGAGAGGAGGAATGAGATTGCTTACGTGCAGCAAATCGGGAACGTCCACGGCCCCTGTCCGAGCCTCTGGAGTAGGGTGGTTGCCTGTAATCCCTGGTTGGGTAGAACGGTGTCGGCTGGGTGCGGGGGCCTGAAGGCCAGAACCGGCTGGCGGCATAGCCCCATTGCCTGCCAGCCCTTCCAAAAAACCCTCTGGTAGTGTTGCCTCTGAAAACTCGGCGCATAGAGGACTGCGCTTTGAGTGAGGTGTTTGAGTTCTTTGAGGAACTGTTCACCAAACAGTTTCCCTTGTGCCTGGGGCCCAGTTTCCTTTGTGCCAAGCTCTGCCAATTTACCGTTAATACGGTATAGCGCTGCTTTTCGTCTCTCAGAAGAGAGCGTAACATTTGTTTTTCCAATGAAACAAAAACATCGTTTTGCCCACTCACGAACATCATGTGCCCATTCCCTGATATTTTTGGCAGAAAAAGAATCGGCTTTGGTATAGGCGTCGTTCGCCAAGTACATGATGCGGGCCAGGGGGGCAACGGAGTCCAGCAGATTGTCTTGAGCGCCCCACAATCCTTTTTCTACCCCTCTGCGAGGGTCTCTTCCGCTCCGCATCATGAAGGTTGTCATAACCTTATGGAACTCAGGGGTTTGAGCCACTTTGTCCGGCAGGGAAGAGCGTGGGCATTCCGACCTAAGTCGTCTGCGTACCTCCTTTTTCTAGAGGTTTGCGGAGCCACAGGTGCATGAACCTGGAGAGGTGCTCCGGTGGTGACCAGTCTCCTGATCTGGGATGGCTTATGTTGCGGGGGTCGAACATAGCCTGACCCGAAGGGTCTAATATGGTGTCTGAATCAAGTGGAGGGTCTGCGTCCACAGGGTCCTCGCTCCTCTCTGTCTGGGCCGCACCCAGGAGGGTCTCCCGCATGAAAGCGGAGATAGACTTCTCACCCGAACCCCAAGCATCATAGTCGGAGAGGTCTGCTTGCCACTCGTCTAGAACTGACATGGAGTGGGAAGGTTCTTGATCTTCGTCGGAAGAGTGATCCTGACGCGGGGCCGGTGTACTAAATTTGGAAGATTTTTTTTTTAATGTTTGGCAGGAGCCTTACCCTTGGTCGGTTTGGGTGTATTGTCTTCGCCTCTTTCGTGGCGTTTTCTGGGGCGGGAGTCCTCCCTGGCATGGTAGTCCGAGACATCGGAGTACGACTCGTGGCGTGGGCGTCTGCGAGCAGATTTGGGTAAATCCGGAGCTGTAGCTCGCACTTTGGAGAGTGCCTTCTCCACAGAAGCAGCGACAGCTGCATTAATCATGGCCTGGAAGTCCACAGGGACATTCTGGGAGTCTTCCATGGTATAGGGTAGGCTTGTGATACACGTCACTAATAGGCACTATAGTAGTGGCACCCAGGTCTTAGATATAGGGCGTAAGGCGTAGGGTCAGTTGATGTGGTGGTTATGGTGGATAACAACACCATCCAGTTATAACCCCAGCAGGGTATAGTTGGTGACCTTAATAAGACTGGGGCTTATTATTAGTTAGAGAGAACTGCAAAAGCTAGTCTCCCAATAAGCAGCGCATTACTTAGGTACGTATAATGGGGGCTCACCCCGGTTGCACAGGGTTGGAACCCTTAAGTGTAGGTCACAAGATTATACAGGCAGCAGCACTGACCTGACTGACCCAGCCAATGAATACAGGAATCTTCTGGTGATTGTGGCAGGCACAGAAGTACCCAGGTATGGAGGCACTGCAGGAACTTCAGTATAGTAATCCCTGGTACTCACAGGGTGTGTAGAGGATATTCCACAGTGTTTAGAACTCTAATCTACTTATCCAACAAATATACATTCAGAATACATTGGAAGTTGATGGCACACAAGCTTATACTGTGACCTCTGGATCCCTAATGTAATCCACGCGGTAAAACAATATGGCCGCGTGGATCTCGCGATATGCGCGATCAAAATGGCCGGAAGCCGGGGATTTAATTTAGACCGGCCGCGGGTGAAAGAGGCCAGCGCGTTCGGTGCCGCGGCCAAGAGGAGGGAGCCCAGGAGGGGGGACTGAGGGTCCCAGGGCCGACCAGGAGATGAGGAAGGGGGGAAGGAAACCCCTATGAGGCTCAGGCAAACCCCACTGCCCAGATGAAAAGGTACAGCCACAATAACTAATGTACAGAAAAATACAGTGAAAAACAGTAATGAACTAAATAACAGACTAGCACAATAAAGGTATAAGTCTGACCTGTCTGCGATGGAGCAGTAAAGAAAGAGGAAGTGTGCAGGCAGCTTGACCCTTATATAGACTATGCTGCTCATTGATTTATTGTTACTCTTTACATTTTTCTTTACTGCTATGGAGTTTAGTAAAGAGAGTTAATGCAAAATAGGAAGCCTCCTGTCAGGTTATAAAATTGTAATACCAGAAAACAAACCCCTAATCTGGTAAAATGAGACCCCACAGTCAAAATTTCTAAATTGTTAATATTAGTGTGTAATAGGACCAAAACCAAAAGTAGTGTGCACAATGTAGCAGCAGCTAAGTATCTGTGTAACAGAATCAATGTGCAATACAGGCTTTAATCATTTATGCCTACAGTACATTGATACAAATTACTGCTATTTCAATGTAACAAAACGGTTACAGACAGAAAAATAGGGAGGTAAGGGAAATAGAAGGACTCAGTGTAATTACTTGTCAGGTTCTTATTCTGACAAGCAAGACTTTTCCGTTTAATACTGTCCCTTTAAATACAGTTCCTGTTTTTCACCTCTAGTGGCCTCCTTAGCCACTAGTCACCTCAGAATCACCTGTATCATATGTAATGACGTTTTGCTATATATGGGCACACTCAACAAAGCAAGTGGCCCTTACATTGAAGTTGATGTTCATACTACAGACTTCAGATCCTGGCTCCTGTAAAACAACCTGTAACTTACCTGCAATGCTTCTTACCTGATTTGCTAGCACCCCTACTCCTTACCAACTTGGATTATTTACAACTATAATTCTCTGCTTTAACCTGCCTACCTGAATTTATACAACCCTGCAAAATCATTATCTGGATATTCCTGAACACTTTTATTAACAAGGTGTTATTTTTTTTTTCTCTGACTCCTTATAGTTACTAGTCAGAGCCGGTGCAAGGATTTCTGCCGCCCTAGGCAAAGATCCATTTTGCTGCCCCTTCATGTCACTCACTCACTGACACACACAGAAACTCACTGACAGACATACATTCACTTACTGACTCACACAGACACTCACTGACAGACAGACACTCACTAAGACTCTCACTGACCTACGTGCACTCATTCACTGACACACACTCAATGACAGACACACACACATTCACTGACAGACATTACTCACTCACTGACATACACACACACACACACAGGCAGACATTCACTCACTGACAAACACTCACCTCCCTGGGATCCAGTGTGGGGCAGCTCCTCACTCCTCCCGCCCTCTGTTTAGTATGCCAAGGCCGGAATTATGTCATATTCCGGCGCCCGGCATCACATAGGGCGCACTATTGAAGCATATATTCAGGCACCAGGAGGAGCGGCTCTGGAGCCGCTCGCCCATTGCTGCAGCCCAAGACAGAGGGGCCCACCAGGAAATATCCTGTTCCTGATACCTTTCCTATTATTCTTCCTATGCTTTTATCCAGCTTTATTTGCACACTTGTTTGTTTTCTATTTAGAGCATAAAGCCTTAACGTTTATTTCTCCCTTTTCTTCTCATTATTTATTCTACACATTATACTGCTGTAATGTAAAAACCTACAAATAAATCCTCTTCAGTTAACTCTGGCAAATGTCTCCTACCTGACCTGATCAAGAGCATGACATTACTCCTATCATCCTCATCCAATTATATAACGGAGCTTAGTATCTTCAAGTCAATCATCACATTTAGCTGACTAGCCACTGATATTCACTCAGTATATGTTAGTTCCTGGCTAATCCCTCAAAACAGCTGTGCCCTGATTCCTTGTTACCATGGCTGTTCAAATAGGTGAAAAAAACTACCAACTCCCTTGGCTATCCCTATAAAGGTATTACACTATGACTAAGCATAAGGCATCAGGATTAGTGCTAAATAGCTGTGCAAGAATGTGAGGGCAGTGAAAATAAAATAACAAAAACCCGACACATGTTTCAGTTCCCTCTATGCTCAAAGAAAACAAGGGTCCATGTCTGGATTACCCTTTTAACTTACGGAGGGCTTAAGTAAAGACATGGCAACAAAAATAGAGAATGTGAGAATTCTACGAACCGTGCTCACTGTGCCTAGAGGAGTGTGAGAGAGAGTGTGGAAGCTCCACCTCGCTGACGAGGCCCAAAGAAGGATGAAACCATCATGTGGGGTTGCTGTATCTCTCATGCAGATGGAACTTTGCAGCATTGTGGGTCTGGACAGTGACTAAACTCCATAAAAGTCTGTTAATTAAGATGTTGGATTTTTTTTTTTTTTTATGATTTCATAGAATGGTTCATATTGGTGTTATTAAGGTATAGGCAATTTTTAGCACTCCAAACGTGGTGGACTACATCACCCATTGTTCTTTGCCACCATTATAGCTGTTAATATTAATATCATTATGGGAGATGTAGTATACTACATTTGGAGTACTGAAGGTTGCCTACCCCTGGCATTTATGCAGAACTTTTTAGATGTCTTAACTGTTTATTTTGAGGCCTTTACATTTGATCAATTTTTTTTGTAGTATAACATCCATATGTTTATTTACAGAATGAAGGTCAATTTTTGTCCCCAGTGTGGAGAGAAAGTAGACGATGCATTTAAGTTTTGCCCAAATTGTGGTTTAAAATTACCCATCGATGAAACAAATGATGAACCTTCAACGCCCAGCAAGTTACCACCATCACCAGGTACATTTAATTATAATTTCCAATGCAGCAGCTCAGTGTAACTTAACATAACACTACCACCAAATATATATATATATATATATATATATATATATATATATATATATATATATAAAAATACATAATATCCTTGCACTCAGACTCAATAGTTACATACCGGGTGCTTGCAGTCCTAGGGAAAATTCAAATATCCAATTTGCAACAGGTGACCAGCACTCACGGATTCATGAAAGAGTTAAAACATCCAAAGTTTAATGAAAAATTAAAAAATTGTTGACAGCTCAACGTTTCAGTCCACCTCTGGGACTTTCATCAGGAACAATAATGATATCTCACAATACCCATACATAAATAGGCACAGCAATTAACATAATTGATGATTAAAGATAATAATGAATTAGCATAATTGGAAGCTACATTCAAGGAATTAACATATTAACAGGTACATACAAAAAACAAAATCCTACCTACCAGTGTGTGATTGCAGTAGCAGCCGGCGTTCTCAGATTAAAGATAATGATAATGATTAAAGATAATAATGAATTGGCATAATTGGAAGCTACATTCAAGGAATTAACATATTAACAGGTACATACAAAAAACGAAATCCTACCTACCAGTGTGATTGCAGTAGCAGCCGGCGTTCTGAGAACGCCGGCTGCTACTGCAATCACACTGGTAGGTAGGATTTCGTTTTTTGTATGTACCTGTTAATATGTTAATTCCTTGAATGTAGCTTCCAATTATGCCAATTCATTATTATCTTTAATCATCAATTATGTTTATTGCTGTGCCTATTTATGTATGGGTATTGTGAGATATCATTATTGATCGTGATGAAAGTCCCAGAGGTGGACTGAAACGTTGAGCTGCCGTCTGAGAACGCCGGCTGCCACTGCAATCACACAATGATAGGTAGGATTTCGTTTTTTGTATGTACCTGTTAATATGTTAATTCCTTGAATGTAGCTTCCAATTATGCTAATTCATTATTATCTTTAATCATCAATTATGTTAATTGCTGTGCCTATTTATGTATGGGTATTGTGAGATATCATTATTGTTCCTGATGAAAGTCCCAGAGGTGGACTGAAACGTCGAGCTGTCAACAATTTTGTAATTTTTCATTAAACTTTGGATGTTTTAACTCTTTCATGAATCCGTGAGTGCTGGTCACCTGTTGCAAATTGGATATATATATATATATCTCTATCATTTTTTTTTATTTATACATTTTTATTTTTTTTACATATACTGTTTGCACTCATGTCCATAGTCAGTTACAGTGTCTCTACTCTCCAATCCCAACATGAAAGTACAGCATGTCACTTTCTCACTGTGCTGCATCTAATGCAACTGAATGAGTTTGCTGTGAGGGAATGGCTAGCAGTCAGGGGTGAAAGCAAGTGCCAATTAGCATGAGATGATGGAGCAAATAGCCTTGATTGGGCCGCTCCCTAAGATTATTTGGGGAAAGTCATAATCGTAATCTTGAATGACTGAACCTTCAATTCACTAAAGGTGATTTATACAATCATGCATCCAAGAAGTGGACCTGATAACTTCAGAAACTTTTGTGTCTTTATCAAACAACATTGTTGAAAGGGTTGCCTGGTCCATCTGTTTGTTTAAAGTTTGAAAAACTCACTTACAAGCAACTCAAATAATTATTTTTTTAAAACATTAATATAAAGGATTTTATTCCCATTGGATATGCAGTTATTTATTAAAGCGAATTCAACGTAAATTTGAAATTTAAGGCCAGAGTAGCTGAATGGTAATCATAGCTGACTTAGAGAATGTTTCCAGTTTGGCTACTTTGACCTTAAATTCACTTAGAATTCACCTTGAATTCTCACATTAATGAATAACCCTGATCAACTTGATTAAATAAACTATATAAACCCCTGTTGTGGTTCATTAAAAAATAAAATTACATAAAATTAGGGTTTTAGAAAGTGTGTTGGCAATCTGTATTTATTCAGTGCATTTTCATCTAAGAAAAGGCAAACAATATTTGCATGTAAAGCAAGGCTTTTCAGATTCCAACATTCCTACTGAATAGTAAATATTGTAACAGTCACATGGTTCATACATTTCATTTAACTTTACTTAAAGCTAATCTAACGTGAGATGGTCTCCTCACCACCACTCGACTCTGCACGTGGGAGACCCTCACTAGTGATGATCTCCTTAAGTCATGAGCCTCTTATATAGAAATATTGGGGTTATACTGTCAATTGCCAAGTTTCATCAATAGAATGTGTCAAGTAGGAACCATTGAATCTATCACTTCACTGTGAGACTCAGTTCCATCTCATTTAAGCAAATAATCTCACTCTGTCTGTATGACAGCCAGGAAAGTGAAAATTGGGTTATGTATAATATAAGACAAATCACATACCCTGTCCAACCTGCGGCGCCCCAGATGTTGCTGAACTACAACTCCCATGATTCTTTCAATTAAAAAGATAGCTAGGAAATCATGGGAGCTGTAGTTCAGCAACATCTGGGGGGCCGCAGGTTGGACAGCCCTGCCCTAGAGCAAGAGATTTGGAATGTTTCTTCAAAACTGCACATACTGAACTTTTCATATTGTATGACTTATTTATTTTTTAAATGGGAAACTGTGTTGGAGGTAAAAATGTGGATAAGAATAATGAAAATGACATATCTGAGAGTTTTAGAGGTTTACTCCAACCAAAAACAGTGTTTTATTCTAGCAGCCGTAGCTGGAGTAGTCCTCCCCCTTGATAATAGAATAAAAAAATAATGTACGTTATAATAAAGGAATTTACCTGCAATCCCACATAGAGACCATGTCTTCCTGCAATGTGATCCACAAGTTAAGGGGTGGACTTGAGCAACATGTGGGGCAGGGCTGTACCACCATTGGTCATCTGTGGCAACAGATGCCCAGTATGCACAAAATTAACATTATCCAGACTCTCATTCCAGGCAAGCTATTGATGCCACCAGAGGTGGAGTAACATGTCCCCCAGCTAAATGCAGCACTGTGCCTACAGCAGCATGACCACTTAAAATAACCTAAGTAGTCATAGTGCTTGGATTAACCCTTTGAATGAGGAAAATAATGTAAACATATTTTTCTGTTCCACCATAGTTAAGAGATCGCCTGTAAAAAGACTTTCCAGTGCCAGTGCATCACCAAATGAAGGTAGTTGTGCAAAAAGAAGGACCATGGATAAACAAGAGACAGACACATTAAGGTCTCCCAGCAGCCGTAAGTTGCTTATATTTTTCATTATTTTTATTTCTTTTTTTATACTAGAATGTGTGTAGTACCATCCAATAATACAGCCACAACACTTTATCTTTGACATGAATCACCACCTAGTGCATTGAATAAATCATATTATAAAAATTATATAGATATATACTCCTCTCACTTCCAATTCAGTGGTGTCATGTCCTAATCTTTCTGGGTGTTACTCTTCTGTCTTCTCTCTTCTTTGATTTGCGGTCTTTGGGGAAGCTTCCCCAAGCATGGCAAACCTTCTCTGTGATGGCTAACACAATGCCTTTATTGTTCCTATATTCCCTAGCTAGCAGCATCAGCCTGGGAGTTACCATGCACTGTGGTAGTAGAAGAACTGCCTAAGGAAGAACTTCTTAACAAGGGACAGGGGCACTATAGTGTTAGGTATACAGGTTTATATTCCTATCGCTGTAGTGTTGCTTTAATATACACAAATCATCTTCTTTGTGCAGGTGTTTTCTTTTGCTGCCTTCTTCATTTCCCCTCCTGTCATCCCCGCTGTCCTTTTTTTACTCTCCTCTTCTATCTCACCCTCTCTTTCTTTTACCTTCTTTCTTTGCTCATATCTTCTGTATATAACTCCTGTATACACGCTTATTATACATTACAGGGCTCTTTCAATTGCTCCCTATTTTATCTCTCCGATTCCCCATTCTAGATTCTTCTTGAAATGTTTCTCATTTCATGTTTTTGGTCATTAGACATTCTTATTGTTTATACATCTTTTTAAAATGGTAAAGGACACTATACTGCTCATACACAAATTTCGTTTGAAAAATCTGTATTTAGTAGATATACCCCCAATAAAAACGTGCGTGTATTTAATTATACATTTTTTATTGGGGGTACATCTAAATACAGCTTGATAAAGCTGTAAATCTCTTTTTTTCTACAGTTTTCATTGAGATGCCTACTTCATTAAAGGGAAACTATAGTCACCAGAACAACTACAGCTTATTGAATTTGTTCTGGTGAGTAGAATCATTACCTTCAGGCTTTTTGCTGTAAACACTGTCTTTTCAGAGAAAAATCAGCGTTTACATTACAGCCTAGTGATAACTTCACTGGCCACTCCTCAGATAGCTGTTAGAGATCCTTCCTGGGTCCTGGCTTCCTAAAATGCATCCAAACATTCAGTATCTCCTCCCTCTGCATGCAGACACTGATCTTTCCTCATAGAGAGTCATTGATTCAATGTATCTCTATGAGGAGATGCTGATTGACCAGGGCTGTGTTTGAATTGTGCTGGCTCTGCCCCTGATCTGCCGCTTTGTCAGTCTCAGCCAATCCTGTGGGGAAGCATTGTGATTGGACCAGGCTACCACTTCTGATGTCAGCAGACAGCTTGTTTTTCTGAGGCAAACAGCATGCAGATCTATAGCTTCTGCTGGAATACAGTAAGATTTAGCTATATTTATGGAGGCATGAGGGGACCAGGGGGGCTAGATGATGATTTTAACACTATAGGGTCAGGAATACATGTTCGTGATCCTGACCCTATAGTGATCCTTTAAGATGAAGTGGTCTGGGTGTCTATAGTATTCCTTTAATATCGTAATGAAGGGCCTTTTGTTTTTGTTTCTGAGTTGAATCTCTTAATGAAGGACCTGTTGTTTCATTTGTCTGAATGCAAGCAGAGAAGGGCACTAGATTTTGACAAGGAGCTGGGGATATCCACAAGCCACACTTCAGAGCATTTGGAATCTGTCCCAGTGGAGAAATGGAGCATGTATTTCTTACTTTTCCTCAACATGATTTTATAGATGACATCTAAATAAAGGTTGATGCGCTTTTGGAGTTTAATTGGTTTGCAGCCTGTTAAAAAATTACCATTAAGGGGGGCGGAGCCAGGCTTCCAGGCTGCATGGACGTGCTGAGACTGAGCTCCTGACTAAACATGCACGATTTGAGGCAAAAACCAGCATGTACTAGCCGCTTCCCAAGAGACGGCGGTTAACAGGGACACTCAACACCAAGCCTCCAGAACTGTCAGCGCCAGGTCCATTGACAACCAGCTTAGACCTGCTATATAGCATGACCAGGACTGATAAACATCAGAGCAGAAAGCATAATCACACACAGCTCCGGACTGCAATGACTTTGAATCTTAAAGAAACAGTTTCTGCTATGCGAAAAGATGCATTTATCTTCACCACCACACGCTACTCATCCATGACACTCGCACAGCGACTACACTGCATGTCAGCAAACAGATCCTGCCGATAGCACTAGTTTACCTGCTATTCTACCTACCTTAACTCACGCATGCTAACCTACAATGTACAGCCGATAGGCAAACTCAATGCTCACCTCCAAACATACACTAGCTTTAGGGCACGTGGCAATATGGCAGATCCCCATCACACCATCACACAGCACATACAAGCTGTATAACATGTAAACCATGTCGCTAAGAAGTATTAGGTGTTATCTCACTGGGTTACACTCGCATAACCAGATGACACAGCCTATTGTTCATATATTCTTTCCCTCCTAATCAACTTAGTATGACACTCGACTGTTTAGTACCTTGTACATCATTATTATGTCCTTTCTTGTCTTACTCGTGTTCCTATTTTGCTATCACAAAAAAAAGTGCAGCATCTTTTGACTACCTATGCCAATTGTCTACTATGATTTATTGTATTGAACAAGTCATCGCTTTCGCCTGTAATTTACTCTTACTAATTTACTTAAAAATAAAGAATTTTAAAAAAATAAAATACCACTAAGGGGCCACACAGATAACTTAATCTTATTGAAGTGGTCTTGGTGCTATGTCCCCACTGTTTTAACCCTGCAGCTTAAAGAGAAACTATAGTGCCAGGAAAACAAACTTGTTTTTCTGTCACTATAGCTTCCCCCTCTGTCAAGGCCCCCTCCTCACCCTCCTCCGTGGTGCAGCAAGGGTTAATAATCCCTTCTGTCACTTACCTGGGTCCAGTGTCAGTGTCCCTCGGCGCTGGATTAGCTCCGCCCACACTCCTCCCCTGCCGACGTCAGCCGGTGGGGGAGACCTAATGCGCATGCACGGCAATGGCCGCTCTCGCATTAGTATTTCCTCATAGGAACACATTTAATGCTTTCCTATGAGGATTCCAGTGACGCTGGAAGTCCTCATGCATAGCGTGAGTATGTACAGCGTCGTTTAGGCGACCAAAAGCCGCCTATTCACTCGGAAGTCCCTCGAGTGGCTGTCTGGTAGAGAGCCAGAAGAGGAGGAGTTAACCATAGCAGGTAGTTATTGCAGTTTATAAAAACATTGATGGTCTGCAGGAAAAGCAATGCGTTTATTGCAGGATTACCCTGTCTCTTTTAATACTGACAGCCACTAAAGTCGCTTGCACCAAAATAGTGGCGTAAAACACTATTTCAATCCAATGGTTACAGGTAGACCATTTGATTGGCGTAGCATGCGCACAAGTCTCACAATAATTACCTATGGGGAAAGCATTGGGTTCGCTGTGATCATCGATCTCAATTGTCTCATCCAAAGTGGCGGAGCGGAACTCCAAACACTTTTTTAATCTTTTAAAACCTTTTTAATCCTTGCAGTGGGGGACCAACCACCTAAACTGTGACTAGGGCACTATAGTGTTAGACAAACAAATTTGTTTAGAGATAGATATATATGTATAATATATTAATATATAATATATAAATCCAAATAGGTTATGGTGGGGAAAAACTGTGATTGAAACCCCCTTCCACCTGAAGTCTGTGGATAAGGGGTTTTCAATCACAATTATTCCCCACCATAACCTATTTGGATTTTGCTTCCCAAGCACTACCAAGCCTCAATAAGCAAACCAGTAACCAACCTCATGCTGACAAGTTGCCTTAACAACGAAACAGCTGTCCATGAGTGGTTCACTGGTTTTGCATCTTTTCCTATATTGTGTTTCAAACTGTTGTATACAGCAAACACAGATTAAAATGAATCCATGTTTAAAATGGAATGAGGCAAAAATGTGATTCTTTGTTAAACTAATTTGCATATGCCCACCCAGAATCCTTTGCGGTTGTAACATCGCTGCAGTTATGGGATTTCTGTGGGAAAAGCAAGACTTATGGCTTATGGATATATAATCTCTAAACAAATTTGTATTTCTAACTATAGCGTTTCTTTAAGTGTAACTCATTCTACTCTCTCTACTCTCTGAATGTGTGTCCTTTACCCAAACCCCAATTAAAACATTATTCCACCTCTCAGAATAGTTCTACCAATGGCTGCATTATAATCTTCTCTCTGTTATACATGTACAAAAAAAAGCAGAATAGCTTATTGGTATCTCTGATGCACAAAGTAACACCATGTTAGACCTGCACAGCTAATAGATTGATAAATATGAAAAAGTCTTTTTATTTTCCTCCATTAAACTTAACTGTTTGCTGTATTGAAACATTTGAAATAGTGACGCTGAGGAAATATTACAAAGGCATGTGAGTAACGTTTAGAACAAGCATGTCAAACTCGCGGCCCACAAGGACCATCTTTGCAGCCCAGCGGTTCGCGAGTACATGCTGAGGTTATAGCAGAGTAGGCACCTGCTTTCCCCACAGCTAAAGCTTACCCGACCATGGAGGAGGGCCTGCAAGGGAGCTCAGACTTCCTGCTCCCTCACGCGTGTCATTTGTAGTGAAGTCGGGCGCCGGAATATGACGTCATATTCCGGCATCACTAAACTGCGCGAGGGAGCAGCGAGGAGCAGATAGAAGGACCCCAGGGAGATACCCCACATTGGCTCCAAAAGGTAAGGAGCAATAAAGAAAAGTGTGTCTGTCTGTGAGTGTGTGTGTGTCAGCGGGAGGTATGTTTTTCTGGCCTTCTACGCCTTACGTTAGTGGTCCCGCGAGGCCAACATCCATCCTCATTTCGGAGGTACGGCATTCCCTCGGGCCAATTCATAGCTAGCCACCTCGCTTGGTTGCATAGAGAGGGCCTCAGTTGTCACTCCCATTCTGTCTTATTCTTTTACGAATCACGGAGAGGCCATCACCCTGCCATAATGCCAATGGTAACGTACCCCACACGAGCCAAATCATAGATAGTGCCTCTCAAAGCCGCTTGGCAACTAGTAGGGCCTCACCTGTCACGTTTCTAAGTAATACTTTTGCCGCTTGGCATTCGTTACACCAGCCAGTTGGGTAGGACCCCAGGTAACATATTATTTTTATGTTGTAGCATGTCACAAATACCCAAAGGCGGGGAAGATTTGTCCATCCCCAGCACACCGGCTAGATCGGTCACTCCATCCCGGGGTGACGACAAAGCGAGCCCTGCATCACTCAGGGCATGGACCATTCCTCGGATCACTGCCGAACTAAGGAAGAGGAATATGATGAATACACCGACTGATAACTCAGGGGCGGGGGAAGGGTCCAGTGGCAGCCATTCTTCTGATCTGCATACTGTTTTGTCTTCTGTCCTGACCTCTTTGGGTCGTATTACGTATAAACTCGACAAGATGGATGCAGATAGCCAGCAACGGTCATCTTCTGCATTAGGGATTCCGGTCGCTGTGTGCCTGGAGTGCCTGGACGGTGTGCCTGGACCCCCTACCGGGTAATATACCAACCGGTCTGAAAGACCCACATATTATTAATCCGGCACCTATGGTGCCTGCAAACACTAAAAAGGACATCTTGGAAGGGAAGGACATCAATCTGGTATCACTTCTTATAGCCTCGCAAGATGTCCTTGAAAATAAAACCTATGCATATGGGGATGTGTCGGTTGTGTTGAAATCTAGGGACCCTAGGTTGAATTGGAAACTATCTATTCCCGAATTTGTGTTGGCTTTCGGGATATACAGAGATGTGATATGCTCTGTATATCCGGATAGGAGAGAAGAATTGGACCTTTATCTCCACAAGCTGGTGGATTTGGGGCACAAGTACGGTGGTATGTCTTTTTACGACTACCACCGTGCCTTTTCCGCAAAGGCGTCGGCCGCTCTATCTCAGTTCAATTATCAAGCTGATTGGGGTGTGCTTGATACAGAGCTTTTTTGTTGACACTTTGCGGGCCTCAAAACCCCAACTTGTGCAATTTGCTCATCCAACTCCCACACGGCTAATCTGTGCCCTAACTCTCCAGAGGTGAATGCCGTTTTTTCTCCTACTAATGTGATGCCCACTGGGAGAACAGGCAGGGTGCTGAAAGATAAACTAGGCCGTGATATAGTGTTTTTGGGAAAATCGCAAGTCTGTAATAATTTTAACACTGGCACTTGCGGATACAGTGCCTGCAGACTACTGCATGTCTTCTCCCAATGTTTCAGTGTTCACTCCAAAGTAATGTGCCCCAATAAATTATATCCTAAGCAGTACTTATCGTCTCTTAATGTCTCCCTACTGGAAGAGCTTTTGTGTGGTCATCATCTTAACATCTCGTTGAGTTTTTGGTGGCAGGATTTACTTTGGGGTTTCACACGGGTATTATTCACATGCCTACGGGAATCTTGGAATGTAAAAACTTACAGACAGCCCAAGCAGCTCCTGACACTATTGACCTACTTCTCCAGAAGGAAGTTGACCAAGGTTTCTTAATAGGCCCTTTCGACTCCCCGCCTTTCGCGGTTTGGAGAACTAACCCTATAGGACTGGTCACTAATAAATCTTCCAATAAACAAAGGTTAATTCTCGACCTATCTGCTCCCCATGCATCACCTACCCCAAGTCTCAATTCACTAATTCCATCAGAAGAATTTTCCCTCCAATATGCTACCATAGATAATGCCGTCACTGCCATCCTCTCGGCCGGGGTAGGGGCATGGTTGAGTAAAACGGATATTGTAAATGCTTTTAAGTTACTCCCTATCCACCCTTCCCTGAGGCATTTACATGGTGTTAAGTGGCAAGGTTCATATTATTATTATTTTACGCGCCTCACGTTTGGTTCTAAGAGCAGCCCCAGGATTTTTGATATATTTGCTGTGACGTTGTGGTGGATGCTGCTTAACATCTGTAAATGCCCTGCCGTGATCCATTACCTGGACGATTTCCTGACCATAGAAAGGAACCTGGTACCTCCTAGTAGCCTCCTGTCCATAACACGACTGTTCACACAACTAGGAGTACCTGTTTCACCAACAAAGACTGAAGGTCCAGATAGATCATCAACTTCTTGGGGGTGGTGCTGGACTCTGTACGTATGCAGGCTAGCCTCCCCGGGGAGAAGATTGAACGCATCCTGGCAGCCATCGACCTTTACCTAGCAGGTGGCTCATGTAATAGGAAGGAGTTACAATTCCTGTTGGGTTCACTAAATTTCGCTATGAAAATTATTCCACAGGGGAGAGCGTTCATATCCCGTTTGCTTAGCCTGTTTCCCCTATTGCAATCTGATGCCTCCCGCATTACGTTAGACGTACATGCCACCGCTGACCTACATATGTGGAGGGAATTTTTGCTAAATTGGAATGGGAAAAGCATTTTTATCCCGGTATGGTCAGATAAGTCGGTGTCAGTCTGGACGGATGCCGCTGCCACTTCAGGATTTGCCGCTATTTGTGGCAATGAATGGATGTGGGGTAAATGGCAGGGGGAAATTACTGAGATCCCCAAGTTCAAGGACACATCAGCCTTATTTGAGCTCTATCCCATTGTGGCAGCAGCAGTTAAGTGGGGAGCTTGCTGGTCTGGGAATACGGTGCGTTGCTTCTCGGACAACATGGCAACGTTCCTCTTCCCTGGCCATCATGCGGTTTATGAGGACTCTCACATGGCTAGCTGCAAAACACAGTTTTCTTTTAACTTGCATTCATGTGCCTGGGGTTCTCAATATCGCTGCTGATCACTTATCACGGTCTTGGTTTCAGGAGTTCAGGGCAGCACTACCAACAGCTACCCTGACACCAACTCCAGTACCGCAGTGGCAGGAAATGGTTTGGGACTAAAAGAACTGCTCTATCATGGGCAACAACTCTCACAACTCGGTCTTTCCGATAACACCAGGAAGGCATATGGCAGAGCGTTGCATGTTTTCAATAGATTCTTGCTGGACTTTAATATCACTGACCAATTTTCCATGGAGACAATCATCGCATTCATTTATTTTTTCCACCTTTATCTAACACTATCATTCAGTACCATTAAGTTGTATATCACAGGTATTCAACATCACGTCCTCACCACTTGGCCTAATAGACAATGCTTTCTGTCATCCTACCAAGTTAAAGGTATTAAAGACTCCACCCCTATACCCTCACCGTCCAGACTACCCATCCACAAACTATTGTTTCAGTCACTGTCAAATCTGCTAGACACCTCCCCATTCGAAGCTCATACTAATCGTATAATTAAAACAGCCATCTATTTGGCCTTTTACGGTTTTCTTTGGCCTAAAGAGTTCACCACTACTAACTATAACTCCCCCAAATTCATCACAAGGTCAAACCTGGTGAAGGTACAAGATCTGCTATCCCTACACCATACCAAAACTAGCGCAAAACGACAGACGGTCACTATCACCTATTACCCCACTAATAATAAATGGTGTCCGGTGGAAGTTTTCGACAAATATCTTTCCTTCTGTACAATAGCTCCAACACAACCACTCCTGACCTTACACAGTAATAAGCTCACTACGAGTAAATTCATGGTGTATGTTAGAATGTTGTTGGTCCGTTTAGGATTGAACCCAGCAAACTACTCTGGTCACTCATTTAGAATAGGAGCCGCCACTACAGCTTCTAAGAAGAATATCCCGGCTCACATCATTAAAATTTTAGGCCGATGGAAATCCACGGCTTACACCAGATACATCCCTCAGCCAATACAAGAGGTGCGCCTAGCATTCAAGTCTATGAATATGTGATATGCTATGATGTATTTGTAGGATGAATAAACTGGTTTATATCTTATTTTCCCTCTTTTATTTCAGGCCTACTACCTCGTCCGTTCCGGCACACCACGACTGACATTTCCATTCCCTGTTTGTCTTATGTTACTAATGCTATGGCTTTATGCCGTGACCACAAATGGAAGGCGTGGCCTAAAGTTGTGGGAGGGGCTTGGTTCCCCTTCTTAAGGAGCACCAGCCCTTCCCTCATTACCTGTTAGGTCTGGCGAGTTGTCCCACCCACCACACCTCCTTTTATAAGTATTTCATAAGGTAGGCCCTCTTTTATTTCAGGCCGACTACCTCGTCAGTTCCGGCACACCATGACTGACATTTCCATTCCCTGTTATATATATATATATATATATATATATATATATATATATATATATATATATATATATATATATATATATATATATATATATATATATATATACACACACACACACACACACACGTATAATAGATAGTAGAAGTGCCCTGGTGCATTCACACGCTGATAAATAATTACGTAGAAAAAAGATGCACTCTTTGTTTTTTTCGAAAACAATAACAGTCTTTAATCCATAGAAGGTTTACAAGTTGCTGATCAACGTTTCAACACGTTCTGGTCTTCCTCAGGATCAACATGTAAACATAAAATCAGAATATATATAAGAAAAGATAAAGTGTACTCACCAGTTGTGATTAACTCCCTCATCCCTTCAATCCGAACCCAGAAGTGAAAACCGGAAGTCACGTGACGTGCAATGTTACGTGAGAATGTAACTTGGTTGCTTGGTTGTGTTTTTCGGGGGGCAAACTACACGGCATGGGCGGGGACAGGCCTCACAGACTCCTATACCGCAAGGGGTCCCTGTTCCAGCCGGCATTATACAGGGAAGGGGGAGGTGGGCTGGGTTGTCTGGGTAAGACCCAGTCTGCTTGTTTACGCACGAGTTAAAGGGGGAAGGAGGGCATGGTACTGGTCTGATGCTGGCTGACCCCTAGTTCAGCCATAAGAGAATAATACAATATATCTCAATTACAATGCCTTTAATTCGATTAAATACTGTGTTGTTCTGTATACAAATTACTGCAAGTAGCACTTTGGTTAATCACATATATATTGTACTACATGCTTTACAGATATAGTAGTTATAATAGTATATGCATTACTTACAGCTGATTAGATAATGTTATGCGATATCTGCATTGATAGTTGTAAAAAAAAATAATTAACCCCTGTTGATTTTAAAGTACATGGCTACTGGGAGCATTGTGTCTGTAGGGGGGACAGTACTCTCTGCAGTCACCCCCTAAGCGCTTACTACTTTCAGTTATACAATCTTATGTGTATGTCCTACAAGAGTACATTATCTGAATTCTCATACCCCCAGGAACCCCGAATACCCCTAGACGGGTCATCTAAGCTAAGCCCCCCCTACTTAAGAGACCTCTGATTTCTCTTATACAGAAGCTCACTTTTTCTGCAGGTATGTTGGTTCACGTTATTTTCAACATGGCCGTTTAGTTATTTTCCCTGCCCCTTAGTCCTAGCGGTCCACGAGGCCAACTCCCATCCTCCACTTCGAGGTACTATACGCCCTTCGGGCCAAATCATAGTTAGTCGCCTCGCAAATTATATAGAGAGGGCGACACCGGTCACTGCCAAATACCCCCCTGTCTACTCATGGAGAGGCCAACGTCCCATCACCGGTGTAGGTTACCACGCCCCTCGCGCCAACTCATAGATAGAGCCTCTTTAGCCACTTGGCATTAGAAGGGCCTCACCTGCCACAAATCCTAGAATAATCTTTCGCCATCTGGCACTAGCTAGCCACCTGTAAATTCCCAACCCTGGTTACCAACATGTCTGTTATATATTTTCAGTATGTCCCTACTCCCAGACGATGGTGAGGATATGTCAATCCCTAGCACCCCTGCTCGGTCACTTACCCCGACTCGCAAGGGCGACATGGGAAGTCCCTCGTCCATCAGATCATGGACTATCCCCTGCATTACTGCAGAATTACGTAAACGCAGTATCCCCTTCCCGGCTACTGCCAGGAAAGCAGAACTGTTCAAACTGCTAAGAACCGATACCCTTAATACAGACGCAGGGGAAGGCACAAGCAGCTCTCAAGATCCAACTCTCCATGCTATGGTTGCCTCCCTAATCTCTTCTATGGAGAAGGTCAACGACAGGCTGGAGAGGCTGGAAGCCCGTAGCTTCCCTGTACAGCCTCCTGGCCCTCTCACCGAAGTAATCCCGGTCATACCCACAGCAATAGTGGGTAATTCCATAAAGAAAAGATCGTTCACATCCTACACAATATTAGTCACTACATGCACAGGGGGTCTTGCAATCTTAAAGAATTACAATAACTTTTGAGTTCACAAAATTTCGCCATGCGCATAATCCCCCAGAGCAGGGCTTTCATTTCTAGGCTCCTCGCCCTGTTCCCCACCTTCTCCAACGACTGTCCTGCGACCGCTGACCTCCAGTTGTGGTACAAATTCCTCTCAGACTGGCATGGGAGGAGCATGTTCCTCCCGCAGATTGATTCACAGTCACCTGTCATTTGGACAGACGCGGCATCATCCGCGGGATATGCCGCCATTTTCGGCACAGAATGGCTCTGGGGGACCTGGCCTACAGAAACACAGGGCATTGAGGGTTTTAACACTAACTCAGCCCTATTTGAAGTACACCCGATAGTTGCTGCAGCTGTCACTTGGTGTAGGTTGTGGAAAGGGCAGTGCGTACGCTGCTTTTCTGACAACCTGGCAATATGCCACATTATCAATAAGGGTCGCTCTTCCTCCTTGGCAATTATGAGTTTCTTTAGGAAACTGACATGGCTGGAAGCTACCCATCAGTTCCACATTGTATGCTCCCATGTTCCTGGCATATACAACACGGAAGCTGACCAACTATCTCACTTTCAATTTCAGGCTTTCAGACTGTCCCTACCCTCGGCAGCTCGTGTGGCAACCCCAGCTCCAACTTTCCAAGACCTTATCATGGAGTAGACTAACTACTTCAGCACAGCCACGTTCTCACCAAGTTAGTCTTATCCACCAGCACCCAACACGCGTATCACAGAGCTTTTCACTTGTACAAACAATTCGTGTCTGACCATCACCTAGCCAACTGGTTCGAGGTTTCTTCACTGATAGCTTTTGCATCTTTTTGCCACCTTAAATTTAAATACTCACATAATACTATTAAGCTGTACCTCACGGGGATACATTGTATTGCTCCTTCCCTAACCACAAAGGGTTCTTAACTTCTTACCCCATCCGAACACTACTGAAAGGCATAGCGAAACACTCAAGAGACTTGCCATTGACATTAAAATGTTCAAATCCTTGTCCGTCCCTCTCGACCAGGCACCATTTGAACCCCATACGAATGCGGTCATTAAAACCGCCATTTATCTAGCTTTTTATGGGTTTTTTTAGACCAAGAGAATTCACCATTAGTGGCCAGCACCATAGCCAAGGGTGCCTCCTCACATTTTACCTCATGAAACACACAGACTACTATGTCCTCACCCTACCTAAGACCAAAACAAGTCAGATGGGGGAACCGGTTCACATAACCTACTACCCCACAAGGAACAATTGGTGTCCGGTGAAAGTATTGGACGATTTCTTAGCCACACCAACACGCACCACAAAACCACTACTATTACTACACGATGCAATTCTTACCACGGCAAAATTCATGCTTTATGTCCGTATGCTTATCACCAGACTTGGTCTAAATTCTAGCAACTACTCAGGGCACTCTTTCAGAATCGGAGCGGCCTCCACGGCCTCTAGCCAAGACATTCCAGCACACGTAATTAAGACACTGGGTTGCTGGAAGTCCTCGGCTTACGCCACTTACATCCCACACCCAGTCCAAGAGATTAGGAGGGCTTTCATTAAGATGTCTATTTAATATGTAATAATGTACTATGTTTTCTGAATAAATGTTTTCTTTGATTTATCTCTTTTTGCCCACTTTATTTACCGGCCTACAGCATACATCGGTTTCGGCACACCTCAACCGACTATTTCCTTTTATTTATTCCTCTTCACCAGCGTATTCCATATCCTATGAGAATGCCCCAAACACAAATAAATATATATATTGTGATAAAGTGAAGGCAGATAGGCCTTTTAACCCCAGGGGGAGTATGTGTAGTTTGTGTGTGTTACACAAAGCTTTGTTTAGTTATGGGCCCCTGGGGTGGAGCATTTGGAGAGAAGGGTGGGCCAATGCTCCACTCCACAGTTTAGTGGTTTTCTGGGGAGACATGGATCCAGGCCAGGGTTTTTTGGATCATCTCCAACCCACTGCTCAGCTGCAGTTAATGAACTGTTGCAGTGGGAATAAACTCCTCCCTGCTAGGCAGGTAAAAGAGAGGGATTGCTGGCTTCCTCCCAGGAAGCAGGTAGGAGAGAGAGGCTGTTCTCTCCAGATAGTCAAGGTGACTAGGCACTTGGAGTGCAGAAAGGAAGCAGTCAGGGCAAGACTGGCTTGGAGCACTGGGAGTGCAGAAAGGAAAGCAGTCAGGGCAAGGCTGGCTTGGAGCACTGGGAGTGCAGAAAGCAAAGCAGTCAGGGCAAGGCTGGCTTGGAGCACTGGGAGTGCAGAAAGGAAAGCAACAGGTTAGATAGCAGAGCGTTGCTCTCTAATAAGGTTGGTGCAATATTGTGTTTAGTTTAACCCTGAGAGATAGGGAACTAATGTCAGTTAGTGCTCAGACGAGCTAGGTGTTTGTTTATAGGGTTTTCTGTTACTTTTGTTTTTCATTTACTGCTGTATCCTGTGTGGATTTACAAATAAAGTGCCTGAGTATATGCAATTACAAGGACTGTGCATGTTTTTACCCTAGAGGGCCGTGCTACCTGCCGACAAGGATCACAATATGGTGGAGAATGCGGGCAAAGTAGCACATTGAGGGTCTGTGGGTGTGCCAGTCATTCGGTAGTCTGCTTGAGGACTTTTATTTTTGCAGACCTGTTAAGCAAACAAGTAGCACTGTAACTTTAAGACTGTTACCTGCTTGGTGCTATAATGGAGGACCTGCTGAGAGCTGTGGTACAGGCAACGGCTAAACAACAAGGCACAAACAGTTTCCTGGCTGCACAGGTTAAGAACCTGAGGGACGCTCAGCAGGAGCATAGAGCTGCCCTTACTGAGGTTTTGCAGATTGCCCCCTGCAGGGAGCGTGGGACAAGGGACCCAGTAACCAAGCTACTGACATCCTGCATGGGATGACAGAGGCAGTAGAAGAAGTCTTCAGCAAGCTGAAAAGCATGGAGGCAGCAAAGCGTGCTGTTGAGAAACACGCAGGAGAGAAAGAACAGGAATTAAAAGGCAAGAAGGATGAAATTGAGCCTAAATGTAGTGATAAAGAGGTCTTTGAAAAAGAGTTGGTGGTAAGCAAAAACCACCCAGAAGGTGTAAGTAAAGCTAGTGGATACAGCCAGGAAAAGAAAAATGAAGCAGAAGCCCCTGATGTACACCCAAGTGAACAAGTCAAAGGCATGAAAAGCAGACTGACTTGGGGAGTCAGAGAAGACAACAGTAAAGGAGCTGAGCTTAATAGAGAGAAGCAAAGCACCCCAGCTGAGTATAGCAATGCGGTGCACTGTTTAGTAGCTGAGGCTACCCAAGAATGTCGACCAGCTGTTGAACAGTTTGGCAGAGAAAGGCAAGGCCGAGAAGTTGTGGCAAAACGAAGTCAAAACAAGAAAGGCAAAGTAGCTGCTTCTGATCTAAGCCAAGAGAGAGCGACAGTTACAGAACCAAGCTGTGGTGATAAGATAGGCACGTCCGCACCTAAGCCCGACCAAGGCGGAAGTGACAAAGTAGATGACATTGGCGTAGCAGAACAAAATATTTCAGAGACATCTGGTATTGTTACAAAGACTTTGAATGATTGTCCAGGAGCCGTAGAACTAGATCTGCTGGCAAAGGCTACTGCTACAAGGCCTTGGCGCACTGACTACCGGGAACAGCTGCCAGATTCTGGGAACACAGTCATGGAATTAAAGGCGGGACTCGGAATGCCTGACCGGCTGTTTGATACCAGGGCTGTAATGACCCAGCGAGAGGCCGTGACTGCGTCTCTGGACAACCCCATAGGGAGCAAGGCAGGTTCCCAGGGATTCGCAGAACAGATGGAGGATGTTGTGGAGCCCTTCGCGGAGGGACTTGTTCCAGTGAAGGATGAGCTGGTGACAGAACCAGGTCTTGAAGAGGTTGAGCAACTGGAAAACTCAGCTCATGAAGGAATTGGACATATAGCTACACGCCAAGCCTTTGCAAAGTTTGCTTTTGAAAGTTACTCTAACGTTGAGAGATTATCAAATCAGAAGCTGCTATGGATGTGGAAGCAGATGATTCAGAGGAACTTGGCTACTAAGGAGCCACACAGTACTGATCCTCAGCCTAGATCCGCTAGCAACCAGATAAGCGGGGAAACTGGAAAGCAAGGACAAAGTCTGGGACAATATACCTATGATGGTAGAACGTACCTAAAAGTCCTATTTTGGCTACGAGACCAGACTGAGAAAAACCTCCGATGCTTCAACTGCCGCATGCATGGACATATTACATATAGCTGTCCTGAGAGTGAAGAGACAATACAATGTGACATAGTAATAAGGGCTCTGTATAGGATTGTATTGACTTGCTTAAAGATGTGTATGGTGACTGGTGGTGGTGTTACAGCACAGCTAAAAGTGGTGATGGTGGTAGGGAAGAGTGCACAAGCACTGACAGATTCAGGGAGTGAGGTTACTCTGATGAAAAGTGTTCTGTTCCAGCCAGAGTATGCAGCTGCCTACCTTGATGTGGTGTTTAACAGGGTGGACTGGGTAGCACACCTGATGAAGGTCCGGTTAGTTGTAAATAATGTAAAGGCTGCCGGTTTGACCGATAACACTGCTACGTGTTATCTGGGATTTGATAACTATTTGGGTTATCCACTTGGGCGGGGGCTCCTTAAACTACAAGGGAGCAAGGTAGCCGCTATTTACAGTAGGCCACTTCCTGTAACTGAGAAGTTAGTCAGGGCTGGTAGAGCCCTAGGTGTTATGAAAGTTCACGGTTTGTGTTCTAAGGCCGCTCGACCCGATGGGTCTGAGCTGGGGAGGAGGATATGTGATAAAGTGAAGGCAGATAGGCCTTTTAACCCCAGGGGGAGTATGTGTAGTTTGTGTGTGTTACACAAAGCTTTGTTTAGTTATGGGCCCCTGGGGTGGAGCATTTGGAGAGAAGGGTGGGCCAATGCTCCACCCCAGGGGCCCATAACTAAACAAAGCTTTGTGTAACACACACAAACTACACATACTCCCCCTGGGGTTAAAAGGCCTATCTGCCTTCACTTTATCACATATCCTCCTCCCCAGCTCAGACCCATCGGGTCGAGCGGCCTTAGAACACAAACCGTGAACTTTCATAACACCTAGGGCTCTACCAGCCCTGACTAACTTCTCAGTTACAGGAAGTGGCCTACTGTAGATAGCGGCTACCTTGCTCCCTTGTAGTTTAAGGAGCCCCCGCCCAAGTGGATAACCCAAATAGTTATCAAATCCCAGATAACACGTAGCAGTGTTATCGGTCAAACCGGCAGCCTTTACATTATTTACAACTAACCGGACCTTCATCAGGTGTGCTACCCAGTCCACCCTGTTAAACACCACATCAAGGTAGGCAGCTGCATACTCTGGCTGGAACAGAACACTTTTCATCAGAGTAACCTCACTCCCTGAATCTGTCAGTGCTTGTGCACTCTTCCCTACCACCATCACCACTTTTAGCTGTGCTGTAACACCACCACCAGTCACCATACACATCTTTAAGCAAGTCAATACAATCCTATACAGAGCCCTTATTACTATGTCACATTGTATTGTCTCTTCACTCTCAGGACAGCTATATGTAATATGTCCATGCATGCGGCAGTTGAAGCAGTTTTTCTCAGTCTGGTCTCGTAGCCAAAATAGGACTTTTAGGTACGTTCTACCATCATAGGTATATTGTTCCAGACTTTGTCCTTGCTTTCCAGTTTCCCCGCTTATCTGGTTGCTAGCGGATCTAGGCTGAGGATCAGTACTGTGTGGCTCCTTAGTAGCCAAGTTCCTCTGAATCATCTGCTTCCACATCCATAGCAGCTTCTGATTTGATAATCTCTCAACGTTAGAGTAACTTTCAAAAGCAAACTTTGCAAAGGCTTGGCGTGTAGCTATACGTCCAATTCCTTCATGAGCTGAATTTTCCAGTTGCTCAACCTCTTCAAGACCTGGTTCTGTCACCAGCTCATCCTTCACTGGAACAAGTCCCTCCGCGAAGGGCTCCACAACATCCTCCATCTGTTCTGCGAATCCCTGGGAACCTGCCTTGCTCCCTATGGGGTTGTCCAGAGACGCAGTCACGGCCTCTCGCTGGGTCATTACAGCCCTGGTATCAAACAGCCGGTCAGGCATTCCGAGTCCCGCCTTTAATTCCATGACTGTGTTCCCAGAATCTGGCAGCTGTTCCCGGTAGTCAGTGCGCCAAGGCCTTGTAGCAGTAGCCTTTGCCAGCAGATCTAGTTCTACGGCTCCTGGACAATCATTCAAAGTCTTTGTAACAATACCAGATGTCTCTGAAATATTTTGTTCTGCTACGCCAATGTCATCTACTTTGTCACTTCCGCCTTGGTCGGGCTTAGGTGCGGACGTGCCTATCTTATCACCACAGCTTGGTTCTGTAACTGTCGCTCTCTCTTGGCTTAGATCAGAAGCAGCTACTTTGCCTTTCTTGTTTTGACTTCGTTTTGCCACAACTTCTCGGCCTTGCCTTTCTCTGCCAAACTGTTCAACAGCTGGTCGACATTCTTGGGTAGCCTCAGCTACTAAACAGTGCACCGCATTGCTATACTCAGCTGGGGTGCTTTGCTTCTCTCTATTAAGCTCAGCTCCTTTACTGTTGTCTTCTCTGACTCCCCAAGTCAGTCTGCTTTTCATGCCTTTGACTTGTTCACTTGGGTGTACATCAGGGGCTTCTGCTTCATTTTTCTTTTCCTGGCTGTATCCACTAGCTTTACTTACACCTTCTGGGTGGTTTTTGCTTACCACCAACTCTTTTTCAAAGACCTCTTTATCACTACATTTAGGCTCAATTTCATCCTTCTTGCCTTTTAATTCCTGTTCTTTCTCTCCTGCGTGTTTCTCAACAGCACGCTTTGCTGCCTCCATGCTTTTCAGCTTGCTGAAGACTTCTTCTACTGCCTCTGTCATCCCATGCAGGATGTCAGTAGCTTGGTTACTGGGTCCCTTGTCCCACGCTCCCTGCAGGGGGCAATCTGCAAAACCTCAGTAAGGGCAGCTCTATGCTCCTGCTGAGCGTCCCTCAGGTTCTTAACCTGTGCAGCCAGGAAACTGTTTGTGCCTTGTTGTTTAGCCGTTGCCTGTACCACAGCTCTCAGCAGGTCCTCCATTATAGCACCAAGCAGGTAACAGTCTTAAAGTTACAGTGCTACTTGTTTGCTTAACAGGTCTGCAAAAATAAAAGTCCTCAAGCAGACTACCGAATGACTGGCACACCCACAGACCCTCAATGTGCTACTTTGCCCGCATTCTCCACCATATTGTGATCCTTGTCACCAGGTAGCACGGCCCTCTAGGGTAAAAACATGCACAGTCCTTGTAATTGCATATACTCAGGCACTTTATTTGTAAATCCACACAGGATACAGCAGTAAATGAAAAACAAAAGTAACAGAAAACCCTATAAACAAACACCTAGCTCGTCTGAGCACTAACTGACATTAGTTCCCTATCTCTCAGGGTTAAACTAAACACAATATTGCACCAACCTTATTAGAGAGCAACGCTCTGCTATCTAACCTGTTGCTTTCCTTTCTGCACTCCCAGTGCTCCAAGCCAGCCTTGCCCTGACTGCTTTGCTTTCTGCACTCCCAGTGCTCCAAGCCAGCCTTGCCCTGACTGCTTTCCTTTCTGCACTCCCATTGCTCCAAGCCAGTCTTGCCCTGACTGCTTCCTTTCTGCACTCCAAGTGCCTAGTCACCTTGACTATCTGGAGAGAACAGCCTCTCTCTCCTACCTGCTTCCTGGGAGGAAGCCAGCAATCCCTCTCTTTTACCTGCCTAGCAGGGAGGAGTTTATTCCCACTGCAACAGTTCATTAACTGCAGCTGAGCAGTGGGTTGGAGATGATCCAAAAAACCCTGGCCTGGATCCATGTCTCCCCAGAAAACCACTAAACTGTGGAGTGGAGCATTGGCCCACCCTTCTCTCCAAATGCTCCACCCCAGGGGCCCATAACTAAACAAAGCTTTGTGTAACACACACAAACTACACATACTCCCCCTGGGGTTAAAAGGCCTATCTGCGTTCACTTTATCACAATATAAATATATATATATATATATATATATATATATATATATATATATATATATATATATATATAATGGACTGTTTTTCATTACGGCGAGTGTGATGTAGATCTAGATCAAATAAAAATGAAGGAAATAGAGGTCAGTATTTATCTCTCACAGTTGAAACATGAAGGCTTTTGTAATTTGCTCATATGATTACATCAAGCTTGTTTTTTCCCCCCAAAAGGTCAAGGTAGCCCCAAAGGCAAAGGAATTAAACACATCAAGATAGAGCCAATACCAGAGAATGAGATTCTGACTGACAACAACAACACAAATTGGGTCTTAGGCACTCTCTTTACAAATGGTGACAATGGAGTCCTGTATGAAGGTAAGATGTTTTCACCTATGAAATTACTTAAATATATACACTGCTTAACTTTAAATTAAACTTTTTTTTTTAAAGCTCAGCGTAGGTGGTATTTGGTACAACTAGAATGGCCAAGATATCGGCACTTAACTCCCCTTTATGTTGGAGATGTTTATCTAAGGAGGGAAATATGTTACATATCTTGTGGGGTTGTCCAAAAATAAGTACCTTTTGGGATTCAATATATCTTTTTTTTTTTTTTTTGTCTCTTTTAAATATCAAAGTTAAAAAATCCCCAGAAGCAGGTTGTACACTCCCATGAGACCAATTAATATTAACCATCCATTCTTTGATAGCAGTGAAAGTACTAATTGCTAGATTTTGGAAACAGACAACAACGCCAGATATGAAATAGTTTACAGCCCAATTGACATTTCAATTGGAAATGGAGAGAGGAGTCGCATATTCAAATAATAACAGTAAATATATACATCACTTGGATAAATGGATAACAATGGTTAAAGAGTGTTTTCATTAATGATGTATCTGATAATACATGTTTACTTTCTAACAGCCTTTCTTTAGTTCTTATTCAGATCCAACCAATAACTGTAGAATGATTATGTATGTTTTATGTCTTGTCATGTGAGAATGTATTTGTCTTTCGGTATTAATCTTATTGAATACCGTTTTTTGTTTTGTTTGTTTGTTTTTTGACTTAAAAATGTCAAAAAAAAATTCAATAAAGAGAAATTTAAAACTAAAACATAAATTACTTAAAGGAACACTATAAGATCAGGAATATAAGCATGCATAGGAAAGTATTGGATTGGCTGATAATTTGAGCCAAGGAGGCGGGATGGAGTTGCCCTGTCCAATCAGCATCTTTTTTGTCTTAAATAGTTGCACTGTCATTGCATAATAAAGAGGTGCAAGAGCGCCCTTTTGTCCAACAAATATTTATGACCCTTTCATGTTTGACAACCATTAACATGGGTTTTTTTTTTCTTAATACTTTCTTTATTGTTAACCTCTTTATTCTAATTAAAGATATTCAAAAAAAAGTTTTAGGTAAATTACAATGTGTAATTTACAGATTAATGTAGTTGTTCTGAAGTCTATATACTGTCCCTGCCAGCTTTTCAATGTAAATACTGACTTTTCAGACAAAAGGTAGTGTTTACATTGCTGTCTGGTAACACCTCTAGTGACAGTCACTCAGACGGCCTTAAGAACTCATGACGGAAAGTTTGTCATGCTGATCCTACCCTTAAGGACGCATGATGGACAATTTCCGTCATGCAGTATGTGGCGGAACCAGCCTCGCCACTGGGCATTGGAGAAGACTGTTTTCCAGCCTCCTGCCCTGCGACTATGGCCCTGAGATGTATTGCCCTTCTTGGAACTGATTTGGGCATAATAGATTTTTATCCTGCTGCTGCTGGCCCTTTAAGAACCATCTGGGAACATACTGTGGAGTTACTGGGTGGCCACCATTTCATGTATCAGAGGCACATGGTGAGAACAGTGGATGAAGCCCATGGTGGGAACAATGGATGGCGGCCATTTTAACTCACAGACACTGTTTGGACTTTTCTACACGGTACCATCTCGCTGGTATTTGGTGCACAAAGACATTGTGCAGTAGTTTTAAACTATACAACAGAGGATACATTTAACAGTAATTATTTTTCATATAGCCTGTATATGTTCTGCGGAATCTGCATTAAACCGTATCTTCCAAACTACTGAACGGATCTGGGTGAATTTGGGATATGTGGTTCACCCAGATCCCTCGGTTCCGAGGATATATATATTTTATGGGGTTATTGCATGTTTTGGGGTCCCTGTGATATGTTTTATAATACTGTATTTCTCTGCCTGTGATAATTATATTAACCATTGTGTTCAGTAATCATATCACAGGCAGAGGGGAGGATTTTGTGTGGGAGTGACTGAGTGTATTGTACGGATTGATTGGTTGTATTTCAAAACCTTGTGGGCAGTACTATGTGGATTGTGAATAAAAGAGGCTGTATGTGCCAGTACAGACAGTTCTGCTTGACCTCAAAACAAAGTGTCGTCTCGTTATTGGGGGAATTGGATTGTATGCTGATTGCCAGGAGTGTAAGCTAATTGTATGCTTTTCCTGTTCAGCTGCTTACAGCATTCAATGCTTGAGAGCATTCGTATGCTTCTCCGGTTCGGTGGTTGTGGTGTCTGCTGCAGTGCTTGAAGCGCTAGGAGCATCCTTCAACAGAGGTACCCAGTCGGGGTGCCAGGTGATCCGTTACATAGTATTTTTCCAGTAGAGTATATTACCTTGCTGATAACTATGAGCTCCCCTCTCTCACCTGGGTCCAGATTTAGTGGCCCTAGACTGACCTATGCTCTGTTTGCAGAGCTCAAAGTGAGCACTGCAAACAAGCATTTAAATGGGGATTTAAATCCCCACTATTACAATTCGGTGTGATGAGGGTTAAATCACTGCTCACACAAGGGAGTTCCAGGTATTAATGGAAACCTGGGGCTCCCCTCTATCAACTGGGGACATTTTTAGTGACCCTGGCCTTTTTGATGAGCTACATGCAGTGCTGACAGTCAGCGCGGCATGTATCTGCTTAAATAGGCATTTAAATACCTATATCTAAATTGTGGTATAAGCAGGGTTAAATCCCTGCTCACACCAGGAAACCCAGGTATCATTAAAAATCTGGGGGTCCCCTCTGTCAGCTGGGGTCGTTTTTAATGTCCCCAGACTGATAGTTGAGCTGCATGCAGAGCTCAAAGTAAGATCGGCATACAGCTGTTAAAATGCGGATTTAAATCCCCATAGAGCACAATGCAGTGTGAGCAGGGTTAAATCTCTGCTCACACTAGGAAACCCAGGTATCATTAAAAATCTGGGGCTCCCCTTTGTCAGCTGGGGTCGTTTTTAGTGGCTCCAGGCTTTTTGATGAGCTGCATGCAGAGCTGAAAGTCAGCACTGCATGTAGCCCTTTAAATCCACAAAGAACACTGCAGCTGAGCGATCTAGCTCAGCTACAGTCATTCTCTCGAGTGATCTGGTGCTTGGGAGACCCCCAGGGTCTGAACAGACCCTGGAGGGTCACACTCTATGCCCCATTGCCATTCTGATCAGTTCTGGAAATTTTCAGTTGCCCAGCACAGATCGCATTGCATTGGGCATAATGTCTTTAATGTAAGAGACAGGAGACTGCTATACTGAGAATAGCCAGTAGATGACAACGTACCACTGCCTGTTTAAAATCCCTTTACTAATATCAGTACTGGGATTAAATTAAGGATTACAATTACATAGAATAAGTATTAGATCTATTATCAGGTTTATTATTTTGGCTATTATTAAGTTTAGGTTTATAACTAGAAATGCTACAATTTCTGGGGAAATTGTGTGAAGTGTTCTTGCCTCCACTAGTAGTCTACAACTGGAGTGGGCAGAGTAACTGGGTGGAGTGGCTTGAATAACTGTTGTGTGGTTGGAGTGGCTGGAGTAACTGTGGAAAGGTTGGAGTGTGGTTCACTCACTCTACAGCAAGGGCAGAGAAGAGCTTTCAAATCCCTCGAACATTCCACCAACTGCCAACAGGAACTAATAGATTCCAAATAGGGCAGAGAAGAGGGGTTAAAAACAAACTGCTCCAAATTGCTCACTTCACTGGCAGTTGCCATCTTCAAACGGTCTTATTTTACAAACTATACATCCTACAGTGAAGAGATTTATATTGTGAGAATCACAAGACCCAGACCTACATTTTGATGTACGTCTCTGAAATATTAAAAATGAAGGCACAGTCACAGTTTGGAAATTGCCCTTCAAATTTGAGCTGGCTAGAGGGGAGTTTCAATGAATGTCAATGGACGGCGTGCACCTGATGGCAACCAAGTCTAGTAAAAAGACACTACATCAACACGTTACCTTACTGCACATGCAGACTCTGTAAGACCAAGATGGCGCTTATAGGCCTCACTCTCCCACCTCTAGCTCCAACGCTGGAGATAGCCAGCAACGATCAACTCCACCTCTGAGCCCTGCAACAGATGCCTCAATGCACACAATGCTTAATGAATTAAAAACATCTCTCCTTTATGACCTCATAAAAATTGCCTCTGATATCCAAGCTATTGGCGACCGAATGGTGCATTTGGAGGAAAGAACAGAGGAGCTGGCAGACACCTACTCTTTGCTAGAAAAGACATTAAAATCTCTGGAAGAAAAAGTGGCCGACCACAACAGGCGGATCAATATACAGATTCATGGCGTTACTGAATCAGTTAAACCTCAGGAGCTACCTCAATATTTGCAAAATTGTTTAAAGGCTTAGGAGTGGTTAGTGTGAGTGGGGGAATGGTAAATCGGCTGTGTCAAAAATACCACATTTAACAATTAATGAGGAAGAGATACTATAGCAGATACCATGTAGTGACGGTAGGATGGCTATATATCTAATAGGTAAACCAACAGGCTATATTTATTTGCCAAAAATTTATTACCCAGAAACACTTATATCCATCAATAAATGGCAGAATAGTACTAATAATATTATCCAAAATACAAAAAATTGATACCGCACTCAACATCAAAATATAAAGATTTATTAGCAGAACATTGCCATAGACCTAAACACAACTCCAATTTCTATATCACGAGAATGAAGATATATAATCTTAAAGTGACAAGTGCCAAAAAATGACCAAGTGCTTAAAATGTGCCTAAAGTGGTAATATTGATAAAATACACTATCAACATTCCTATATGTACAAATCTGTATACCGCAAGATCAATCACAAGAGAAGTGAATATTCCTACGGAAATCTCATCCAGTATACAGTAATTCCTGCAGGAAAATCTCATTTGTAGTTCACTAGTTGCTTTGTGTATAGTTCATTACATTATGAAAAGATAATTCATCAAAGAATGAATTTCAGCAGTGATCATATTTGATCTAACATACATTGGTTGTACTGTATAGCATAGTAAAACATGTTTGCAGCACAAGAATTCAACTTAGCAAAAAGATGATAACAAGCAGGGAATATCTCCCTATATTGCAAAAAAATTTATATACATCTGAATTATTTTATGTGCACAGATGGTATATAAAAAAATTGTTTAAAAGAAAAAAAAATCCGGCCACGCATTTCGGTGCTATGGAAGCACCTTCGTCAGGGGAGCAACTTTCAAAAACCATTCTGCACCATAGTTTTGCTGATAGTTTATAACTGAGGTGTACCTGTGCAGACAAAAGCAACTGAGCTATAGCTGCAGGTATATCTGGAGCTGATTTAGGAGCCTTAGGGACAGCTGATCTGCCAGTCATCAAGCTAATAGCACCCAGTGCTCCTTGTGACAAAATGCCCTAGATACTTTCGGTTTATATAAGTTTTTATGGCACTCTATTAACCCCTTAAAGACACATGACATGTGTGACATGTCCTGATTCCCTTTTATTCCAGAAGTTTGGTAGACCACTATATTTACATTCAAAATATACAACTGCTTGAATTGGGTGACTGATTACCTTGTATTGCTTAGGTTTTGCCTTAGAGCCATATGCCTTTTTTCCTCTATAATATCAACCTCTTACCTTACATTTGGACAAGTCAACACCTTAGCGAATCTCTCCCCTTTTTATAATTTTTTTTCCATTTTTTGGTTCAATAGAAGCCCATTAATCTAAGGTTGATCCAGACCAGATATCCTGACGGCTTATTTGAAAATCGATTAATATAATAACGGCTTGTATTCGAGAGACTTTATGCCATAACAGACTAATACCATTAGTACTATTCTGCCATTTATTGACGGATATGAGTGTTTCTGGGTAATGCATTTTAGGCAAATAAATATAGCCTGTTGGTTTACCTATTAGATATAGTCATCCTACTGTCACTATATGGTATCTACTAAAGTATCTCTTCCTCGTTAATTGTTATATGCTGTATTTTCTTGTCATAGCCTATTTACCATTTTTACCCCAATGGGGATCTCTCCTCAGGAGATTATCCCCATTTTCTTTCTTTTCTATTGTTTAAAGGGAAACTCCAGATTGTTTTCTCTGCACTGCAGGTCCCCTCTCCCTCCCAATCCCCTGTTGCTGAAGGGGTGAAAACAATCCCTGTGATTGCGTCGTGCCTAATCATTAAATTCATGAAGCACCAATATCCAAAAAGTAATAATCAATACCTAATAAGGTTTATAGTGATATTGGCGGGCACACAACCCAGTTTGGATAGAGTACATTGAGTTATAGTCAAGAGAAATCACACAGAGACCAAGTTGAATATAAGAATTCACACTACAGTTTATTATCCACAAAGGGATCTAAGCAAAGTAAGTTTTACTCTCATTTAAGTAGTTGCGTGCATTTACTTTAAACAGCTTAGTATCTAGATATATCAGCTTAAGTATACATCACCATTAGAGAAGCTTGGTTGTCTTCTGGCCACACATGACTGGGGGGGAACTCAGGCAGTCACTCGGAGAGACCCTCTCTTCTGGGAACAGCAGAAACCAGTAACACGTGTCCGCATTACAGGTGGGTAGTTCTCCAAGGGAGCGCAAGATTCCCTTAGTCTTATATACATGTCTTCAAGGACAGTTCGTAGTTCCTTATCAGTGCAGCCCAGCAAAAGACCTTGATACAAGCAGCTGGATGGACTTGGCAGTTGGCCAGACTGTTCAGGACCACCAGAACTTGTGCCAAGTCTTGTGCGGTTAATTATCTCTTATCTACAAGCTTTCTTTGTACTGTTTTTGATGGCAACATAAGTTTCTCAAACTGCTGAAGTGCTGTGTCAGCTTATAGTGCTGTGTCAGCTTAGTAAACAGGTGTAGTGTTGTGTCAGCTCTTAATAGCTGCAGCATAAAGCCTTCAAGCCTGCATCTAGTAATATGTGCTATGTGTGCTTATATGCTTACCGGTGCCATCTTAACTATCTATAAATGTTTGAGTTGCTCAATAGTGATCAATTAATTATAATTAATATGAAATATTATCGTCACAGGTGGGCGAGACTGATCCCGACCACCGGCCGGGGAGACCTAATGCTTTTCAGTGTTTTCCTATGGGGAAATGAGCGACGCTGGAGGTCCTCACAATGCATGAGGATGTCCAGCAATGCTCTAGCACAGGTTTCCTGTGCTAGAAACCAGGAAGTGCCCTCTAGTGGCTGTCTAGAAGATAGCCACTAGAGGTGGAGTTAACCCTGCAAGGTAATTATTGCAGTTTATAAAAAACTGCAATAATTACACTTGCAGGGTTAAGAGTAGTGGGAGTTGGCACCCAGACCACTCCAATGGGCAGAAGTGGTCTGGGTGCCTGGAGTGTTCCTTTAATACCATCCTTGGAAGACCCTGAAATCCTCCTGGTTCTAATACATAGGCTCCCAATGCCTTAAGCATCTGTATTCTAAAACACCTAGAGAAGTGATCACCAAAGTGTACTACTTCACTGTGAGACCGCATAATGCAAGCATTCAGGCTTACCAAACCTTTACCGGAGAAGTTTGCAAATGTAAGCTACTATGCTTAAACTGTGCACATTTGCACCCATCTCTTCGAGCCATGAATATCCAGTAGAAATGGTGATTCTCTGCCAAAATGCTGGTTAAATGGAATGGAGTTGACAAGCCTATCTTTATACTTGTCAGAACTTAATTATCGGCTTCTCCGATAATCCAACACTTCCGGGTTCACAGACCAATGACACGCCCCCTTCTCTGACGCGGCTTCCTAATGCAACTTAGAGGAACCGCGCCAGATTCAAAGTGGTGGGTTATTTTGAAGCTTCCTGAACTTCAGACCGGTAACAAACAATCTCTCGCTAAACTTCTGAACGTGTACCGAACCTGGACTGTTCATAATGTGGATCTCCATCCTCCTCCTATTGACCTTGGATTAACTTTGGAATACTTACTGCTTTGTGAACCCTTCCAAGTAACATCAAGTTATATATTTGGATTAATCCTCCAACTGGCACTTCAATACTTACTGCTTAATTATTTTCCGTGCCTCCTTAGTTCAATTAGCGGACAAGCTATCTACATATTGTATTCTTTAAAGCTACAGGAACTCTCTCATCAAACGCTCTACCTATTGTATTCCTTGAAGCTACATGAACTATTTTCAGCAAACTATCTACATTTTGTATTCCCTAAAGCTACAGGAACTCTCACATCAAACTCTCTACATATTGTATTCCTTAAAGCTACGGGAACTCTTCTCATCAAAACCTCTACATATTGTATTCCTTAAAGCTACAGGAACTCTTCTCATCAATCTACATGAACTGTTATCTTCAAACTATCTTCATATTGTGTTCAGTAAAGATTCATGAACTGTTTTCATCAAATTATCTTCATATTGTATTCCTTTAAATTACAAGAACTGTTCTCTGCAATCCTCCTTCTCGTAAAACTCCTTAATAAGGAATTGTTCCATCTAAATTCTAATTACTATTCTAAAAACCCTAAGGGTTCTCCTAACTATATTTCTGCAGTTGTTTTCCACTCCAAATCCATAGGAAACATAACAATACTGGAAGACGGTAAAAGACTGATCCAGGTATGGAACATCTCTATCCACCCTGATGATCCTTCGAAGTCTCCTAGCAAGTCTTCATCCAAGAAACTTACTAAGGACTGGCTAACTGTCCCACGGTCCCTTATAATATCCTCTGACTGCAGAATCTCCACAACCTGAGCAGAAGTTATGGTCAATCTTACTAACTGATTCTTTGAGTTTAAGACTGTATTCACCAATAATGTAATGCATGTTATGTTTTAAACCACAATCGGATGATGATTAATGTTAATTTTGCATTTTTATTGAGCTACACACTATCTTCATATTGTGTTTTCCTAATTTTTATGGCTATATTCACTACCCCTGGGAGTTAAAACTAATTTACCGCTGTTTTCTTGACAATTTATGGCACTTATATGTGGTAAATGGAGTTTTGTACATAGTTACTTTTATTTTATTCCTTTATGTTGACAATTCTCTGCCATTCTCTGCATTACGTAATAACCCATGTGGTCCACTATATCATTAGTACACCAATGAGCTTTTATTGCTTTATTAACACTGTCCAATCACTATGGTCCTCAAGATCTTTTCTTTAAATGCAAACGGGCTTAAATCACCCTCCGAGACACAAAACAATGTGGTGTCCATATTGTCATTTTTCCAGGAGATGCATTTTAAATGGGGTTACAGACCAAGGTTCAATTCACCCTGGTTCTCTGCCAATTATTATGCTTGCTACTCTACCAAAAAACGTGGGGTATCTATTCTAGTAGGAAGAGCTGTAACATTCTCTTTAGTTTGCCAAATTAGGGATAAAAAAGGAAGATACCTTACTATTCAGTGTGTTATCAATAACCGCTCTAATGCTAGTCTTGGTCCTTTTATGAGGGACTAATTCTGGATTGCGTGCCGCAGGCCAGGCCACCAGGCTCTAGGGAGCATTTACATAGATGCAGACTAACGCCCGGTGGCATCAATCTTTCGCACACCACGACCACAGAAAGCCGCCACCCACCCATTTAAAATCCAGCAGCACAAGGACGCATTGCTCAATCGCTCCTGCCCATTGCCCTGTACTCGGGGTCAAGTGGGCGGGAGGATAGCGCAGCTGAGAGCGAGGCTGCAAGGCGCACCGAGGAAGCCTGGGACACATGAAGTGCCAATATGAAATTAAGATAAGAGGGGGACTTCATAGTATGTGTTTTAAAGAGTGTGTGTCTGCCTGCTTCAGGTGGTATGTGTGTCTCCTTGGGACAGTGTGTGTGTATCTGCTAGGGACAGTGTGTGTGTGTGTTTTTTTTCTCGGTATGGTGTGTGTCTACTGGGAGCAAAAGACAAAGTGTGTCTGCTTGAGTCAGTGTGTGTGTGTGTGCATTGGTCACTAATTGTGATTGTGTGGAACATTGAGTGTGTGTATGTATGTGTATCAGTGATTGCATTTGGGCAAAAAAGGACCATTTACTTAAAAAAAAAAAATCTATACTTTTAAAAGAACACTATAGTGTTAAGAATATAAACCTGTATTCCAAATACTATAGTGTATCTGTCCCTACTTGGATTCAAATACCCCCCCCCACCATAAAATTATTTACAAATAAATAAAAGGGATGGGGGGTATTTACTTTTATTTACGTTTTTCAATCACCAAGACTCCATCTGCACTGCTTGCCTCCTTACCTCACTTAATGTCACTGATAGGACAACACTGGTCCACTCCAATGTTCCTCATACAGGACTAATGGGGACCTGATGTGCATAAGTGGCAAGCTCTATGCACTTTCAACCACGGAGGTGGCTCTCAGTGTGACAGCTACTAGAGGCAAAAAATAAATACATTTTAATTGTAGATTATGCTAACGTAGTGTACCTATAATCTTAATTTTAATAATGACAGGAGGCGAATATTTTGCATAACTTTCTTTACTTTATGCCTCCAGCAGCACAAGTGAATCAATAAACTTTAAACCAATCAGTAACAGGCATCACATCCATATATAAAGCCCTGACAGACACATGACTTCCTCTTTCTTTGATGCGAAAAACAGTCTATTATAACGTCAGGGAATTCAAATAACAGTCCTGAGTAACGTGTAGCACATAACTTGAAATGAAACTTGAAACCTTCCAGCTTTATCTCGTTGAATCCATCTATGATGATTACGCTGAAAAAAAACAGAAATACGTGAAAGGTGATGGAAACCAACTGTTGTCCACATTAAATCCAGTACTATACGTATCTATATTTATATTAAGTTAATATACTGAAGCATTAAACAACCATAGTATACTTAATAATCAACACGGATCTAACACATGTCAACCAGATAAGCATCCCATAAATATACTGTAATACCAAAACCTTATAATTACACTATGAAAATGACAAACCAGAATATTAGAATTTTCCAGAGTATAGGGAGGGAAACAGGGAAGGGAAAAGATTCGCCTCCTGTCATTATTAAAATTTAAGATTATAGGTACACTACGTTAGCATAATCTACAATTTTATCCCTGTATTAGGCCAGGACAACTGTTTGTCCCTCTTTGCTGATTATATTTTTGTGGCACTCTTTGACCCCATATACTCCCTTCCCCCCCCTTTACAAGAGGAGCACTGTACTCAGACCACTTCAATTAGTAGAAGTGGTCTGGGTGCCTATAGTGTCCATTTAAAAGATATGAAAATTTCAATAAAAAGTAAATATTAAAATAAAATAAAAAATTGATGTATCACATAATAGTTTGAGCTAACGTAATTATTCTTTTTATTTAAAACAGCTTACCGAACTTCGGCAACTTCCAAGAAACAGCATTTCCTTCTTAAACTGGTGAGTTATATTGGTAACTTAAAGCGGCACTGTGATGCCGAACTTACCTCTCTTTAACCTATTCCTCTTCTCTCCCTCTCGCGGAGTCTGTTGTTCTTTTCGTCCTATCTGCTCTAGTTTTCTTTAAAACATAAGACAAAGTAGGGACTATTTGTCTTATGGAGGTTTTCTACGCCTGACCATCTCTGACCAGCGGAGGAGCAAAGTGTGCTTCATTTCCGGTGGTCAGAGAACATTTCCCACAATTCTTACCTTTCCTCCGTGTTCCCGCGATGCTTCCTTTCACTTTTCCTGAACGTCCTGTCACTTAGACAGAACGCCGGTGAAACTGCCGAATTGCATCCAACAGAATGAGAACAGTTTGTTCATTCGAATGAATGAAACTCTGATCCTATTCGTGCCGCGGCTGCATCTTGCAGCCGCTTAGTAGATAACTCCCTAATTCCCACGGTATTAGGGAGCTATTTACCAAAAGGCTGAAAGACCTAAATTGGTCTTTCAGCCAAATTTACTAATACTAAGTAAACATTACTCAGTATTAGTAAATAATCTGCCCCTACTTGCTATACTGCGAGTAGGGGCATGTCTAGTAAACAGTGAGCTAAAAACCCCCTTACCGATCCCACTGGGGGCTCTTAAACTGAAGGGGGGACCTAGATCCGGCCCCCTCCCATGAGCTGAGCGTCGGTTGGGGGCCCTAAATGAGAATGTGTGGGGGGGCATAAATAACAATAAGGGTGGAGGCCATAAATAACAATAAGGGGGGGGAACCTATTGTCCTCTCCCACCCCTGAGCGGTGGGTGGGGCCATAAATAACAATAAGGTGTGCAGCTATTGTCCTCTTCCCCGGCCCCCAACCCTGAGCGGCGGGTGGGGGCACTAAATGAGAATGAGGAGGGGACCTGTTGTCCGGCCTCCACCCCTGAGCGGCGGGTGGGGGCCATATATAACAATAAGGGGGTGGACCTATTGCCCCCACCCCTGAGCGGCAGGTGGGTGCCATAAAAACAATGGGGGGGACACCTATGGTGCTCCCCCGGCCCCCACCCCTGAGCAGTGGGTGGGGGCCCTAAATGAAAATGGCCCCCCCCGGTTGACCAGGGGTCCCCAAGTCCCTAGTCACCCCTACATACCCCCCTCACCCTAAAAATAGTGAGGGGCAAATAAAAGAACTAAGTACCTGTAAAAAAACAAAAAAAAAAACTTACCATTTGATTCTTTTTTTCTAAAATCTTAATTTTTCAGCCCCTAAAAAGGCCAAATAAAAACCATAATACCCGTCGAACTTGTAATAAATAATATAAAAAAACCTGAGCGCAAACAAACAAAATCTGACGAAAAAGAAAAAACCTGACGCTAAAAACATAATCCATCTTCACCCATGAAGGGCACGGTGCAGACTGAGCTCCGCAGGGCGGGGAAAGGCTTATAAAGCCTTCCCACACTCTGCAATTTCACTCAGAGCACTCTGATTGATTGGCTTGAAATCCAACCAATCATAGTGCTCTGTGTCATGTTACACAGCGTGGGAAAATTCCAAAGAACTTTCCCACGCTGTGTAAAATGACTAAGGACACAAATTGTTATAATTGTGCTACATTACTAACACTTAGTTCCAGTATATTTTTATCTGATATAACTATTTATGGTTGGCATGCCTGAATAAATTATACTGTACTGGCCAGTAAGTATGTATGTGTATGTATAATGCATATGCATAGTGACAAGATTCATACTTTGCAATATATTGCAAAAACACTGTCAAGAATGAAGCAGGACAATTTTTTTAGCTATTTCTGTTTGGGGAAAAACACCCCTGAGCGGCGGGTGGGGGCCATATATAACAATAAGGGGGTGGACCTATTGCCCCCACCCCTGAGCGGCAGGTGGGTGCCATAAAAACAATGGGGGGGACACCTATGGTGCTCCCCCGGCCCCCACCCCTGAGCAGTGGGTGGGGGCCCTAAATGAAAATGGCCCCCCCCGGTTGACCAGGGGTCCCCAAGTCCCTAGTCACCCCTACATACCCCCCTCACCCTAAAAATAGTGAGGGGCAAATAAAAGAACTAAGTACCTGTAAAAAAACAAAAAAAAAAACTTACCATTTGATTCTTTTTTTCTAAAATCTTAATTTTTCAGCCCCTAAAAAGGCCAAATAAAAACCATAATACCCGTCGAACTTGTAATAAATAATATAAAAAAACCTGAGCGCAAACAAACAAAATCTGACGAAAAAGAAAAAACCTGACGCTAAAAACATAATCCATCTTCACCCATGAAGGGCACGGTGCAGACTGAGCTCCGCAGGGCGGGGAAAGGCTTATAAAGCCTTCCCACACTCTGCAATTTCACTCAGAGCACTCTGATTGATTGGCTTGAAATCCAACCAATCATAGTGCTCTGTGTCATGTTACACAGCGTGGGAAAATTCCAAAGAACTTTCCCACGCTGTGTAAAATGACTAAGGACACAAATTGTTATAATTGTGCTACATTACTAACACTTAGTTCCAGTATATTTTTATCTGATATAACTATTTATGGTTGGCATGCCTGAATAAATTATACTGTACTGGCCAGTAAGTATGTATGTGTATGTATAATGCATATGCATAGTGACAAGATTCATACTTTGCAATATATTGCAAAAACACTGTCAAGAATGAAGCAGGACAATTTTTTTAGCTATTTCTGTTTGGGGAAAAAAGCAAGTAAACATCTTTTTATTTGGAAGTAATTTAATTTATAGTATGCTTTTCTTCTCAGCAGCACTGTCACGCCATACTTACCTTTCTCCTATTGTTTCCTCTTCTCTTCCTCTCTCGTAATCTTTTATTTTTTCCCTTCTGATCTAGTTTTCTTTAACCCCTTAAGGACAGAGCTTCAAAAGCTTGTCTTTCACTTAATGACAACAGCATTTTTTTCATTTTTTGCTGTTTGCGTTCAACTGCAATTTGCATTTTACTAATTTATTGCACCGACACATATAATATATATTGTTTTTTAAAGGACAGAAAGTGCTTTAATTTGATGTAAGACATATATATATATTTTTTTGGTAGTTACAGGTCACAAAGCACAAGGAGTAAAATAGACTTTTAATGTGGAGCGATTTTAGAATTTGGTATGTTTGTCTTGTAAGCTTAATAGCCATAAAAGAAAACAAAATTGCCACACAAAAGTATATATTTATATAAAGTAGACATCACGGCTATTTACCTAAGGTTGTTTTGACACTTTCTACGTAGCCATTTCACCGCCAACCTCTGCTAAATATTGGAGTAAAATTGTGTTTTTTTTGGTTTTTGGCACACAAACTTATAACAAAGAAATTCTCATGTATATTTTGTAAAGTTGGTGTGTGCTATTCCTGTACAAAGTTTTATTTTGTGTTCAGTTACATCTGCTGAGTAAAATGACACCCCCATTGTATGTCTTTTGCACTATTTCGTGAAGTTACAGTGCCATACAGGATACCTGTCCTTTTCAGTATTCACAGTAGAATTTTGAGAGATGGGTTTAATGAGCCTTAGCTTCCATTTGGGGTATTATAACAGTTTGACTTTTTAAAAAAAACCCACAAAGGCCTACCATTTGTAAAAGTAGACACTCCAGGGTATCTCATAAGGTGCATATTGTGCCTTAACATGCCCCCATTTTTTCACCAATACATGCCAAAGTATGTGGTAAAAAATAATTTTTTGTGCATTTTTTACATACGGATTGCATTTTTACCCCACAAAGGCCTACCATTTCTGGGCGTTTTGTATATTTCATATGCATATTCATATTTTGCAAACCTTATGTGTGCTACGACTGTATAATACTTCATATGTTGCTCAGCTATGTCGGCTGAGTACAGCAATACCCCCGTATGTACCTTTGCCAGGTATGTGTGGACATCGAAGGGGCACATTTGGGACACAGCCATTCCAGTTTTTTTCAAACTTTGAATTTTTACGCTGTGCCTATGTCCCATTTTAGAGTATTTTACCAGGCTATATAATCCAAATACCCCATAAAGCCATACCCATTTCTTAAAGAAGACATCCCAGGGTATTTCAAAGGGCATATTTTGAACCTTAGCGTGGGATCATTTTTCCGCTAGCTTGTACCAAGTGTAGTGGTAATAAGCATTTTTTCTGCCTTTTTGACATACAAAGTGAGTTTGCGCAGCATATTTTGCAAACCTTATGTGTGCTATGACTGTATAATACTTCATATGTTGCTCAGCTATGTCGGCTGAGTACAGCAATACCCCCGTATGTACCTTTGCCAGGTATATGTGGATGTTGAAGGGGCGCATTTGAGACGCAGCCATTCAGTTTTTTTCTAACTTTGAAGTTTTACGCTGTGTCCATGTTCCAATTTGGAGTAGTTTAGACGGTTGGTTATTGAAACTTCCCCACAAACACATACTATTTATTAAAGAATACACCCTGGGGTAATTCAAAAGGCATATTTTGAACCTTGGCGTGGGATAATTTTTTCTCTAGTTTGTTCCAGGTGTAGTGGTAATGAGCGTTTTTAAAATGTATTTTTTAACTTTTTTTTACTTTTTACTTTTAAAAACTAGTTTTCAAACTTTTGTTTTGCTTATTAATTTTTTTAAACTTTCTTAAAACTTTTTTACATATTTAACATTTTTCCAAGCTTTTTTTTTACCGTTAACCCCTAACTAGCAGTAAGCAGCACGAACAGTAAATTCACCATTTTCCCATAACTCCCATCCACCCCAGCTAGCAAAATATATAGTTATAAAATATTTAAATTAATTAAATTGAACCCCTGAGGGTTAAAAAATAAAAAAGTTAATCCTCAGGGGTTAAAAAAAATTAGATCTCAGTATAATACTGTGATCTGTATTTGATCGCTGTAGGCAGTGATTGACTGGCAGGGAAGGGGTTACTTTTTATTTGGACTAGGTAAAGGGGGGTGTTTTTTTTTATTTTTTACTTAAACGTTATTAAAACTTTTTTAAGCTTAATTTTTAACTTTTTAAAGTTTATTTTAAAACCTTTTTTAACATTAACCCCTAGTTAGCCTAACGCCAAATCCCCCAATTCCCCACTAACTTCCACCCACCCCAGCTAGCTAAATATATAATTTTAAAATATTTTAATTAATTAATTAATTAAATTTAACCCCTGAGGGTTAAAAAAAAAAAAAAAAGAATTAACCCTCAGGGGTTAAATAAAAATAAAATCAGAGCATAGTAAAATGTAATCCCTGCCAATTGATCAATGTAGTCAGTGATCAATTGGCAGGGAAGGGGTTAATTTTTTATTACAATGGGTAAAGGAGGGTGGGACTTTATTTAACTTTATTTTTTTACAGCAGGGGTCAGGATCATCAATGTTCCGGCTCCCTGCACTTCACACAGAACCAGGAAGTGCAGGCGGAAGGTAAGTATACAGAGCACATGTGCTAGACAGCCTGACCGGGTGCTCCCGGTATGCCTCTAATGCAGAGGCATACCAAAGCACCATTAACACCGCGATCGCAGCAATCCGGGGTTAATTTTACCGCTGTGACGGACCTTGTCCGTCACCCGTCATTAACGGGTTAAAACCTGAGACAAACTAGGGATTTTTCATACCCTTGACTTTCTTTGGCTTAAGTCAGTTCCATTTCCATTTCCTATGTCAAAGAAAGTTTTATATTCACCCTGCTCCGTGTTTCACTTTGATTAATTTGCTATGTCCAAACGTCCTGTCATTTAGATAGGGCACCGGCGAATTGACCGAATGTGCGCAGTTTGTCAATTTGCGTTTGCATGAAATTCGTTTACTAAATTGGTTAAGAATTTCATTCAGAGAATGAATTTCCGATCTAATCAGTACTGCGGCTGCATCTTGCGAAAGTTTAGTAGATAGCCCACTAATTCCCACAAGGATTAGGGAGCTATCTACTAAAAAGTTGAAAGACCAAAATTGGTCCTTCAGCCAACTTTACTAAAACTAAAAAGATTTTAACCATCCTCATACTTTTAGTGGGGTGGGCTTAGGAAGCTTCAATTCTTACTCGTGGCTCCCTCCTTGTAATAAACTAAATGAACAAAAACCAAATTGAAATTGGGTCTTCGTTCTTTGCAATTTCTACTCGTCTGACAAATGAACGAATAGCCGAAATTCACATCCAAATTTCAGAAAATAGTGAATGCCCAAGTGTTCAACTGGGCATGCACAGAAATGTCACAGTGATATCTAGTGTGGACAGGTGATGCATCCCACAGGGCAGCGCCTAGGACCAAGATCCGGGCAAGAAATATATAACTATATATAAGGTAAAAAAATGTGAAATGGGGGACCAAAGGGCATATGGGAGTTCCTAGGAAGACAATCAAATGTAGTGGAGTCGGGACAGAGCCCCCTCTGCAAATTAGGCCCCATGTGATCGCTCTGAATATATATATATATATATATATATATATATGTATGTATATATATATATATATATATATATATATATATATATATGTATATATATATATATACACACACACACACACACAGATGATACCCGAAAAATTTGAATATTGTGCAAAAGTTTTTATTTCAGTAATGCAACATAAAAGGGGAAACTAATATATGAGATAGACGCATTACATGCAAAGCAAGATAGTTCAAGCCGTGATTTGTCATAAGTGCGATGATTATGGCTTACAGCTCATGAAAACCCCAAATCCACAATCTCAGTAAATTAGAATATTACATGCAATCAATAAAACAAGGAGTGTACATAGAATAATATCGAACCTCTGAAATGTATAAGCATGCATATGGACTTAGCACTTGGTTTGGGCCCCTTTTGCAGCAATTACTGCCTCAATGCGGCGTGGCATGGAAGCTATCAGCCTGTGGCACTGCTGAAGTGTTATGGAAGACCAGGATGCTTCAATAGCGGCCTTCAGCTGTTCTGCATTGTTCGGTCTCATATCTCTCATCTTTCTCTTGGCAATGCCCCATAGATTCTCTATGGGGTTCAGGTCAGGCGAGTTTGCTGGCTTATCGAGCATAGTAATGCCATGGTCATTGAACCAGGCTTTGGTGCTTTTGTCAGTGTGGGCAGGTGCCAAGTCCTGCTGGAAAATGAAGTCAGCATCCTCATAAAGCTTATCTGCGGAAGGAAGCATGATGTGCTCCAAAATCTCCTGGTAGACGGCTGCGTTGACCCTGGACTTAATGAAGCACAGTGGACCAACACCAGCAGATGACAGTGCTCCCCAAATCAACACAGAGTGGGGAAACTTCACACTGGACTTCAAGCTTCTTGCAGTGTGTGTCTCTCCATTCTTCCTCCAGACTCTTGGTTTCCAAATGAGATGCAAAAGTTGCTCTCATCAGAAAAGAGGACTTTGGACCACTTAACAACAGACCAGGTCTGTTTTTCTTTAGCCCCAGGTAAGACACTTCTGACATTGTTTGTTCAGGAGTGGCTTGACAAGAAAAATACGACATCTGAAGCCCACGTCCCGGATCCGTCTATGTGTGGTGGCTCTTGATGCACTGACCCCAGCCTCAGTCCACTCCTTGTGAAAGTCCCCAACACATTTGAATGGCCTTTTCCTGACAATCCTCTCCATGCTGCGGTCATCCCTGCTGCTTGTGCACCTTTTTCTTCCATACTTTTCCTTCCACTTTGGGAACATCCAACTTCCTTCGCAATTACCTTTTGAGGCTTTCCCTCCTTATGGAGGATGTCAATGATGGTTTTCTGCACAACTGTCAGTCAGCAGTTTTCCCCATGATTGTGAACCAGACTGAGAGACCATTTAAAGCAGTGGTTCTCAAACCAGTCCTCAAGACCCACTAACAGTCCAGGTTTTGTTAGTATCCCCATTAGAATAAAACAGGGAAATACATAAATCCTGGACTGTTGGTGGGCCATGAGGACTGGTTTGAGAAACACTGATTTAAAGGCTCAGAAACCCTTTGCAGGTGTTATGGCTTAGTTAGCTGATTAGAGTGGGACACTGTGAGCCTAGAATATTGCACCTTTTCAGAATATTCTAATTTACAGAGATTGTGGATTTGGGGTTTTCATGAGCTGTAAGTCATAATCATCGCACTTATGACAAATCACGGCTTGAACTATCTTTGCATGTAACGCGTCTATCTCAAATATTAGTTTCCCCTTTTACGTTGCATTACTGAAATAAATGAACTTTTGCACAATATTCTAATTTGTTTGAATATCACCTGTGTATGTGTGTGTGTGTGTATATATATATATATATATATATATATATATATATATATATATATATACGAAAGTAACTTTGCCACTGGCTTTTGAAGCGGCCTGTTTGCCAGCCTCCTATCCTGTGACTATGGCCCCTGCAATATACCTGGCTAAAATACTTTAAAAAGGCTCTGTTAGTGCAATTGGGACTATATGGTTTGTTTACCGAACAGCCGCACGAACTGGAGACCACCCTGGAGCTTGTTGAGCCTAATTAATAAATTGTTGCAATTTCCACTGCAGTGGTCTGTGTTCGTCTGGGTAGCTGCAATTCCTATGGACGACCACGAGGTGGAAGCCATCTTGTTCGCATGGACCAAAACCGCGAATCGTCTTTAGGGGGACTTAGCCGCGAATGCCCTAGAACTATTTTTGGCATGAAAACTTTGCGATTCCCGGTCTGTCCTCCAGCAGCACTTAGCCGCGATTCTATGGAACTATTTTCGGCTATGGGACCATGCCTGCGGTCGGTCAAATAAATCACTTCCAGAAAATTCCTGAACTGATCTGGGTGATTTTGGGATATGTTGGTCACCCAGATCAGAGCTATCAGGGATGTAACATTTGTGGGGTTTTACATAGAAACCTTGAATGTGACGGCAGATAAGAACCATTCGGCCCATCTAGTCTGCCCAATTGTTTTGAATACTTTCATTAGTTCCTGGCCTTATCATATATAGCATATCCCACGCATGTTTTAACTCCTTTACTGTGTTAACCTCTACCACTTCAGCTGGAAGCCTATTCCATGCATCCACTACACTCTCAGTAAAGTAATACTTCCTGATTAGTGATGTCCCGAACTGTTCTCCGAACGGTTCGCCGCGGACTCATCATTGAGTAAACTTTGACCCTGTACCTCACAGTCAGCAGACATATTCCAGCCAATCAGCAGCAGACCCTCCCTCCCAGACCCTCCCACCTCCTGTAGCGGTGCAGTACGGCTTTTGGGAAGACCAATAGACGAACGTCTGAAGCCATCTTGTTCGCATGGACCAAAACCGCGAATCGTCTTTATGGGGGACTTAGCCGCGAATGCCCTAGAACTATTTTTGGCATGAAAACTTTGCGATTCCCGGTCTGTCCTCCAGCAGCACTTAGCCGCGATTCTATGGAACTATTTTCGGCTATGGGACCATGCCTGCGGTCGGTCAAATAAATCACTTCCAGAAAATTCACTGAACTGATCTGGGTGATTTTGGGATATGTTGGTCACCCAGATCAGAGTCAGGGATGTAACATTTGTGGGGTTTTACATAGAAACCTTGAATGTGACGGGATAAGAACCATTCGGCCCATCAATTTTGCCCAGATTGATTTTGAATACTTTCATTAGTTCCTGGCCTTATCATATATAGCATATCCCACATGTTTTAAACTCCTTTACTGTGGACCTCTACCACTTCAGCTGGAAGCCTATTCCATGCATCCACTACACTCTCAGTAAAGTAATACTTCCTGATTAGTGATGTCCCGAACTGTTCTCCGAACGGTTCGCCGCGGACTCATCATTGAGTAAACTTTGACCCTGTACCTCACAGTCAGCAGACATATTCCAGCCAATCAGCAGCAGACCCTCCCTCCCAGACCCTCCCACCTCCTGTAGCGGTGCAGTATGGCTTTTGGGAAGACCAATCAGGAGAGGGTTACAATAATCCATGCAGGAAATTACTAGAGCATGGACAAGCTCCTTGGTAGTATCTGGTGCAAGAAAGAGGCGGATGCGGGCTATGTTTTTAAGATGGAATCTGGATTTGACAACATGCTGTATGTGAGACTCAAAGGTGAGGCCAGAATCAAGTATGACGCCAAAACAGCACGCTTGCAAGGATGGACTGATGTGGGTACCACAAACTTGAAGGGAGAGCGAAAGAGGTGGATCAGTATTAGGAGGAGGAAAGACAAGGAGCTCAGTTTTAGAGAGACTGAGTTTCAGAAAGCGGGAGGACATACAGTCAGAGATGGAAGAAAGGCAAACAGTGACACGTTGCAGGATGGCAGAGGAGAGGTCCAGGGAGGAGAGATAACTGGGTGTCATCAGCGAACAGGTGGTAGTGGAATCCAAAAGAGGTAATAAGTTTGCCAAAGAGGCAGTATAAAGAGAAAATAGAAGGGGACCAAGGACAGAGCCTTGGGGGACTCCAACCGAGACAGGACGAGGGGAGGAGGTATCATTAGAAAAAGAGACACTGAATGAGCGTTGGGAGAGATAAGAGGAAAACCACAAGAGGACAGAGTCACAGAGACCAAGCGATTAAAGAGTTTGAAGAAGGAGAGCATGATCAACGGTGTCAATGCCTGGGCTTTAATGCCGTTAGAAAATATTGGCACATCCTAATGTTATAGTGTCTCCCTGCTCTCACCAGGCAGATGCAGGTATCACTTCAGTTCATCTCTATCAGTTAGGGCAATATTTAGTGGTCCCACACTGACAGATGTACTGTATGAAGAGCTCAAAATGAGCACTGCTTACAGCCCTTTAAATGGGGATTTAAATCCCCGCAGTTACAACTTGGTGTGAACAGGGTAAAATCCCTGCTCACAAAAGGGAGGCCTAGGTGCTCTCCTCTTCCAGCCGGAGCCTTTTAGTGGCCCCAGACTGGCAGATAAGCTGTATGCAGGGATAAAAGTGAGTGCTACATACAGCCCTTTTAATCTATTTATATCTAAGCGGCTGAGTCCAATTGCACTCAGCCACTGTGTTTCTAGGACTGCATGCTGTCTAAGGGAGACCCCAGGATATGGAAGACCCTGATAATATCTTGCTGCATATCCCCAATGTGATCCACAGAGGCAGCATGCCAGCGCTACATTACATGGAGATCTTCCTTTCATGGTGAAAACAGCCAGTAGATAAGTTACAAACCACTCACTACTCTTTTAGCTTAGAAAGTCAGCAGTTTGCTCTCTTACCTGGGTCCCCGGCAGTCGCTAACTTCCAGTGGCCAGTGATGTGCATCACGCTTCTGCAGATCCCGCCAGCCATTCATTAGCTGAGAGCGTTTCAGCAAGTGAATGCAACTCTGTACAATGGAATATACTCAGAATTAACATTAGCCACCCAGAATCTTGTTGATGCCCCAATAATGTTGCCGGAGGTGGAATTACAGCTGTGGCAGCAAGGGTGTTTCACTGCTTATGTGTAGTGTTTCATAGATAGACGTCAAATAATTGGGGTGGTAATGGTGCTTGAAGTAGCCTGAATTTATTGAATATTTGGAGGCTTTTTGTTTTTTTATGTATCAGTCAAGTACTTTAACCCATTTTCCAGGTTAATAGGGTTTTCTCAGCTAGTTTCAGCTCAACTTTGAAAATAATATAGACATTCAAATAAACTGCAAGGACTATAACATAGCATGTTTAAACTGGAGAACTGCAAGTTAGCTCACAAATATCTGGTGGATTAAGTGCCACTCTAACTCTGCAGGCTCAGGAGGGATCAGGCTTGTTTTGTGCAGTGGATCCAATAGACAGAAGTGTAAGTATCCCAGCCGAAGACATGGAACGCCAATCTTCACATTAAACTTTTATATTAAAAAAAAACAACAACTTACAATTATAAACAAATTGATAAGAGGCTTGCAGATACTCCTGTTAGCACACTGTCGCTTCTTATTGCCTCAGCGGCATGTCCTGAGGCGCAACTGCTCGTGCAGTCCTGTGTCTGTCTCCTATGCAGACTAGTTTCGCCGCCCTCCCGAGATTTATCATATGCTCTCAGTGGCCGCTGAAGGCAACTTTGGGGTTAAGCCGTTTGAAAACGGTTTAACCCCTGAAGGTAAGAAAGTGTCTAGGGGCCCCCTGGCACCTTAACAACTTAGTTTAGGTGAAATTGTGATGATGCCTATACGGTCTCTTTAACAGTTTTGGTTTGAATTGATACCACTGTATCCTTTCTCTAAAGTGTAAATCCATAATGAAATTTTGGAAATCTAAATTTCTTTCGTTCATGCTCAAGCCAATGACCATTCTGCATTGTCAATGCTTCTTACTCTATTTAATGTCAACTTTTGATCCACAAATTAGACGGAAGTTCAGAAATCTGCAATAAGTGTATAGATAAAAATGTGTTATTACTTGAAGTTTGTTCAGGTAAGACTACATAGTGTGGATGCCTGGAATGACTGCACCCAAAATCTCATGATTCCTGGTATGTTTCTGAATACCAAGAGATATGGCACACTGTGGTGTCATTTCAATGTGATTTGTTTCACTGGAACATGGACCTCCAAGCTTGTAGATTTTACTGCTTTCTCAACAAATGTGCAATTAAGGTAGGCCTAATTAAAGCAGCACTGTCACCATCTGGGGGCTTTGTAAATTTGCAGAGATCCCGACGATGACATCACCACTGGATATTCCTCATGGGCGTGGCCATCTTTCTCTGGCAGGTCCTCTTCAGCTCCTTACTCTGTGTCAGTATGTCTTTTGACTGGCTTGGAATTTCAGTGAAATTCCAACATAGTCAAAATTAGTATTTCATAAGGATTCCATCTTTATAAAATACTAAAGTTTCAAGGGGGTTGACAGTGCTGCTTTAATGGATAGTTGAATAACTTTTTATCTATACATTTGCTAGCTTCATTTGTGGTTCATGACAGGTGCATTTTAACTGTATCTACCAGGATAAATACATTGATATATATTTATGTATTGTAATTTGCTTGCAGTTGATAAATGGAAGAAGTCACATGATTATTCATTTCTGGGAATACCTACCTGCATCGCCTTTGGATTGCATAAATACAAGCAACAGGACTACAGGTATTCAGATATAAACAAACACACTATGCATTTTGATCAATTCCTTTCCTTATATTTAGCCTACTTTACAATGTGTTTGCACATCATTTTGGGGTTGTTGTGGGAAATACCTCCAATTCTAACACCAGTTAGTAGTAGAGTGTATGCATACTCTAGAGATTTTTTGATATATTTAAGCAACCAGGTATCACCTATTGGCTACTATATTATAGAATTGGTTTTAAGTAGGATAAATATATGTATGAAATCCATATGTGTCAAATGCACTCATATGATATGGAGCTGCCTAATCACTCCCAGTAAACAGCGTGAAGTGTTATAATCCTCACTCTTGGTATTTGATTAGTGGCTGAGGTTCTCACAATGGTGTTTATTTATTCTCACAATGTGAATAAAAATGGAAATAAAATATAGTGCTCACTGTAGTATAAAATAAATTGGAAACGTATTCACTAGAGTAGTGCAAAATAATGGTTTTGCTGAATAGTCTGTGCTTAGTATAAATGTTACAGTTAAAGTGCAGAAATCAGTTAATGTGCACATTACCTAGTTAATCTGCAGATTAACTAGGGCGATCAGTTAAAGTGCAGAAAATTTTCATTTCTCAAAGATTTCTCACATTACCTACTAGGCACTAGTTAAAGTGCAAATAAGATCTTTTGCTGAAACAACAGCAACGTTTAAGAAGCAAGTTAGTACAATCAAACGAGAATCAAGTTAACATAATGTTATTTATTTAGCAACAAAGAAGCAAGTTTCTGTTACAAAACTACAACAGAAAGAATCAAATTATTAAGGAACTTTTTCACATTAACGGGACAGCAGCTGTTCAATCTAATTTTAGTGGAATGCTAAATTTGGAGGCAATGATCGCTCTGTATCTACCTAAAAGAACTGATTCAGCGTGCAGGCTTAGCTGACTATTAAGTAGGTACAAAAATTATTAGATGTTGCACAACCTTGCTAATTCTGTTATAACACAGTACTGAACCGAAGAGCAACAATATTATTTAAATGTAAAAGCAAGGGGCACCTTAACTAAATAGTGCTATTGGGTGAGCCTCAGTCAATGAGTCAGTCTAGACTGAAATCAACACCAAATAAGTATGAACGGGTCTGTTAAAAACCCTATAGTTTATACACCTCTTTTCTGTGTCTTCGAAGGCACCTTGGTATTGAGGACCAGCCTAAACTGTCTGTCTCTCTACTAATATAGAGAGGGTTAACAGGATACTTATGGATTTGGCACTGCTGAATAATCCACTGATCTGTGCCTTCAAGAGCACCTAGGCTTGAGATACAAGCCAAAGCTAACTGTCACCCAGACCTGTCACTAGGATAAGAAGGGAGATCCTTCCTTCTGCATATTAATGAGTAGTGTCCATATTATAGCACCTAGGCACTGCGAAACGAAACCCGCAAAACCAAGCCACATGGAAACCTGCGGCAAATTATGAGGCGACGGCGAAACGACCGCAAACCTTTGCACATTAACGGGACAGCAGCTGTTAATGTGCACATTACCTTGTTAAAGTGCGGAAATATCTTGATTCCGCACTTTAACGTAGCAAATCAGTTAATGTGCACATTAACTAGGTAATGTGCACATTAACTGATTTCTCACTTTAACGGTAACATATATATTCCCCACCAAGGAAAATGGTCTCTCAACTTCAGGAAAAATCAGGATGGTCCAGTAAAAATGTGCTGATTTTATTCATTTTATTAACACTTCTTCAAGTAAAAAGAAATGAGATAAAAACAATATTGAATAGTAACAATGTGTTTCATCCAATTAGCAAGGCTTTCTCACTTAGACTAACATTCGCACATGAGTTTTTGTTGTTGTTCCCCCCACCTCTCCCGCATAATAAATGTAAAATGCATGAGTGCACCCATTCCACTGATAGGGAATTACTAAAAACGTGTCTGTGTCTGGTCCCTTACTCTCCTTTTACCTTACCTCACATTCCCTCGCCAACTCCTCCCCTCTATTCACAGAGGCGAAGAGCCAATACACACCTCCCTGGTCTCCTTGCTCAACTTGTTCACTGACGCAAACTGATAGCGGGTCTTTATCTCTCCTTCCAATGCAATGCCACGGCTGGCAAATCAGAGTAGAAACACCTCTCCACCTAGGCATGGCGGATGGGCAGAGAATCAGAGAGTACCTGCCTCCTTCAGAGCACGCATGCCGGCACACTGCCCTCTTAAAGGGAAAGAGGGGTTGTCCCAAGCAGGATGTACATAGGAGTGACTCGGGGGGGGGAGGGGGGGGGTGGAGCATGCCTTTTCTCCCCTTTTTAACAGAATTCCTCCTCTCCCTCCTTGCTCAGTTATACTGTGCTTATAATGGTGTGCATCTGATTTCTGATATTTGACTCTTGCCTGTTTTACCATTTAAGAACCTTTGCCACCTAACCTCCTGAGTTCCTAGCCACACTTTTGTCTAATCCTCATCTGTATTGCTATCTTGGTATAATTTTATCCAGCTTCCTGCTGCAAAGTGGGCTCCATCTACCAAACCTAACAGTGTTATTGTGTACAGTAATTCTTAAACAGGATTGAATGATAGACCAGGGCCCTCAGGGCTATGGGATGTGATTTACCTAATTATTAGGATTTAATCATAGTTTATATTTAAAACAAACTGCTCATAAAATTAGTACTTTAAAACTAATGATTTTATTATATATTATTTAGGTTTTTGGTGTTTCCTGCACTAGGAAAGAGCTTTCAGACCATCATTAACGAAAAGAAAGTTTTGTTAGAGAAAACCATTTTTCAGATTGTGTACAGAATGGTAAGTAAAAAAATAACAAAAAAGTGAGTGCACAATGTTTAAACTTTCACTTACCCCTGTTTCTCAGGCGACAAACCCAGCTTAAAATGAGCCACAAAAAGAGGGAGAATGGTCTTTACTACAAAATGACATTCCAAAGGGGATTTGTTTACTAAGCAATGCAAAATATAGGTCCAAATGGCAAAATATCAGTTTTCCCTACGTTTTGTGACTCATTTGAGACACCAGAACTCTCTTTTAAGTGAACTCACTCCTATGTTTTTTTATGTGGCAGCATGTTGTATATCTTTTAGAAAAATTATCCATACTGCAACTTACAGACATTCTTGGACGATCACGTTGTTCAGGTTGTTAATCTGATATATTGTACTATTGACTTCTGCAGGTAGATATTTTGGAATACATCCATGCAAATGAGTATGTCCATGGTAATATTACAGCCGAAAATATCTTTGTGAATTTTGATGATTTTAAAGAGGTAAGATAAATATTTGTTTGGTCTAAAAAAAAAATAATAATTATTATTATCCTGATATTACCGTGTGTACTTTCTTGCCGTTAAACCACATTTACTATTGCTAAGTACCCAGTTTCACTGAAAGGTAATATTTTAATATTCTGATTTCATTATTGATTAAACAAGTCATGATTTAAACTATAATTGCAGCCTTGTAATCTTTTTGCATTAGAGATTCTAGTATTAAATGAAAACGTCTGTTTCATCCAACCTGAATTGGCTGTGAGTGCTTGGTCAGGTTAGCTCCATATAACCCATTTAAAAGAAAAAGCATAACAGAAAATTGTAGATTATGCTAGCTTCAGTGTACCTATAATCTTAATTTTATTAATGACAGGAGGTGAGTATTTGCTTAAGTCTCTCTTTACTAGAACTCTACAGCAGCACAGAACAACAACCAATCAAAAAAAAAGTTAGGTATTATAAAACTCTACTCCCCATGCATAATTTCCTCTTTCAAGCTGCGAGAAAAACAGAAAAAAAGGCAGAAAACATAATTGGGAAGAAACAAAGTCCTAGATATTATGAATACAACAATGTCCACCATCCAAGAAGAACTGCCACACCAGGTAGCGTTGATGGACTGTAAACTGAAACAAGAGAAAAACAGAATCGAACAGGTTGATTATCCAGTGAAATGTACTCTGAATAAACATGTAGGTACCCAATGTAGCAAACCGAAATTCACTTAATATGAAGATATCCCAACCCTGCTTATAAAAAACAGAAATAAGAACAGGTGACAGGTAGCAGAGACAACAATCAGAGTTGCATACGTACCTGGTTAATCCAAACTGTTAAAATTAAACAAGGGAGGGATAAGAATGGGTGGGAAATACTCACCTCCTGTCATTAATAAAATTAAGATTATAGGTACACTAAAGCTAGCATAATCTACAATTTTATAACATGACAGGAGGCTTCATATTTGCTGTTTTAACGCTCAGTCAACAAATCCAACGCTGTTTGTTTCACTGGTACCTATTCCAGGAGATATCAGAGCAATCCTAAATGGACTTTCCAACTGCGAGAATTGCCAGTAGACGGGTCGATGAGGATGCCAGCTGACGAAGCATCCCAAATACGTAAAAACACTATCCGCTGATAGCTCCAATGTACGTGGGGGTGCGACCTGTTTCCTAGCAGCTGGTCCATGAGTTGCCAAGCTGACCTATTAGCCATTTCCCTGTAGTTGTAAAATGTCGAAGGTCATTTGCGAACTAAGGGCCGCAAGAAGAAACTGCCACCATGTCTCAACTCTTAATGTGGAAGGTGGCTCCTACGATCGTGCCAGAGTCCACCACCAATTCCGTAATAGAACCGAGTAGGACCTTTCGTTCTCTCATGACTTACCCAGTGAGATGTCTCATCCGAGAATACATTTATTATGCAGGCAAGAGTGTGGTCGAACTAGCTGTATCCTAAGTGAATCCAATATTCCAAATGGACTGTGCAATCCGCAGCTGCGGTAGAGAAAGGACTCCTAAAGGACGTCCAATCAAGGTCCCAAACTGAACTTGTGTGGTGGAACGGTGACGACTATTTGGGGGATTGTGAATCCCGGAAATATTCAAAAGGATGGGAACGTAAACCGGAGTTGAGATTTCCATCTAGATATGTCATCGTCTAAGAGTGATAAGATGTCCGAATCCAATGGTGATTGAGACCTGTATAACAAGGAAGAGTCCTCATGTGCTGTATTGAGAGAGTGAAATAACCTGATTGCCCACTGTACGATCCTGTTCCATGCCCGACTTGCCAAAGTTCGTGTAGGGGTTCCTGGTCTACACTCCACCGACAAGATAAGATCTAATATAGTGGGACCCCTAGGTCCCTGTAGCCCTGACTGTCTGGGCACGTATCTTCCAGGGTAGGCCCTAAGTCAAAGAACCCAGTAATGTGAATGCGAGAACCGAAGTCCCGGCCTCCCTATAGAGGGATACTTCCCTTCCTAGCTTGGAGTCCCGAGAACACACAGCGTTCTCTAATATTCAGGCAAGGCATAAAGTCCCTTCACTCACGACAGGTGGCTCCAGAGAGCAGATATAACAAAAAAACAAGGCTCTAGTTTCCACCGTCCGGAGCAAGTGTTGTCCTGTTTGAGAATGTCGGTGAGTCACATCCTGAGCAGTACTCCAGCGGTAGGTTACATCCCGACTTTGACGTCCATGTAGGAGTCGGGAGCACACCGGGTTCCTTCATAGAGTCCACCGTAGGTCTCCTTGATGGTAGTTGAAAAAGTGGGTTATCGATAACCCAAACCAAGACTGTTCCTGTGAGGGATATAGAGTATAGACGGAGGGGCCTCCATCTCCGAACCATGTTCTCCAAATATGTGCTCAGAGGAGTAGGGGCAGTCCTGCCCTTTTATCCAAAGATTGTAATGACCAGGAAACTTCTGTCAACTGGGGTTCCGGTCTATCCATGCGTACGGTGTACCTGCAGACCGGGTAGTGGCCTTCCCTAGCCTTGTTACCCGAGCACGCAGTGCCCATTTGCTCCATGAAGGCCTCAGGATCTCATGTCACCTTGACATGGGGAAAACTGCCTGCGCAGTTTGCTCGCAATGGTCCGGATTCCATTAAATCACGATATATTGAGAGATTTAATTTATTTATTTTTAACTGCGAAACTGGTTATGCATATGAACATGCGGACCTGTTTGATATTCTTCATCAACATCAGCATCCTCAGCATACCACCTGAAGGGTATTGTGCCCATTGTATATTACAGTAGTAGGGTAAACAATTGCCAACTCGATACACCCCCTTATTGGGCTTGAAAGGGACTTCCAACTCCCTTAGTCACAGAAACCTGATAAAATTTAATTAATGTCAGCAGAGACTGGTCTCCCATACCAGTTTGAGACATAGCCAGGTTTTGCTTAGCTTATTAAATTTGCCAATGACAGTGAATATCTGTAGAATATTGCATATTCTATGTTTCTATTGATTATATATATGGATGTGTGGATTGACATAAGTAACAGATGGTATCAATAAGTCACAAGGCTTTCTTTGTCCGAGAGCTCTGGAATGTGGATGTGGGGGTTTTGTCCTTATATGGCTAGAGTTATATGCTGACGTTAGTATTATCACATCTTTATAGTAACAGAGGGACACAAGGTCGCTCTCAGTCTTGGCTTGGCTCTCGGCTCTGTACAACGATGTAACTCTCCCATCAGAAGTCCAGCAATTACCATCTGCTGTTGAATGTCCACTATCCTGTAACATTCTTTATTATGTTTTATTATGTATCCGTAACAAAGAATAAACCTGAAGAAACCGTAAGTCAGATTGCGTATTACTAATTTTCAGTAATATAGACATATATTATTGTGGCGAGCATTTAGCCCAAGAATATATATACAAAAGAAGTATATATATATCAATCAACTGAAGACAAGAAGAAATTAAGAAGATTCAACATTAACATCGTCCTAAGCTATATTTTGCATTGGCTAACCTGCCAGTCTTCTATTCAAGTTTTGTTCCCACTTCAAGGGGGGAGAGAGAAGAATCGAGTTACAAAGCTATTTTGGAACTGGGAAAACAAACTTGAAGAGAAAAAAAAGAATCTAGACTGACTATCATAGAAGAACTGTGGATTCTAAGAAAAAGAAAGTTTTCAAATCATAAAGACTGTACAAGACTATTTTCTACAACTGAGACAAAAAGCACAAGATACAACATGAATTCTAGAAGCAAGCACGTGGCAGACATTGGCAAGCGTCCAGAACTGCGCAGCTGTGTGGATGAAGCAACGAAATAAACAGAAATAACTGATCTGGTAAAGCGTGACAGATCCTTGTGGCAATAAATCAGGAAAGCATTCAACTGGACATCGACTGTTGGAAAGAGACTTTTCATCTGATCTGCAAACTGTGATGGAAGATTCTACAGAGTTCATTCGATACAGAAGATTAACAGACTTACAAAGAAATAAAAGATTGGCACTAACATACATATCAATTCCTAAATATTAATGAAGAAGAAAACAGACAATGAAAAGTTATTTAACAGTTATGAGTATTAATACCAAAAGAGAGTACTTATAAATGTGTAACACATGGAGTAAAATTATGAAAGGATAGTATTATGAAGATAACTATTACATTATTACCTATACATAGGATGAGAAGTATCAGAGGTAGATAAAATATGAAGTTGATACAATAAGGATCATGGCTACTTAATACCACAAAGATTGAGTTCAATAGTATTTCATAGATTAACTATAATGAATAATTTGTTTATAATCGAGGTGAAGTAAAACAAACAATGGTAACATAAGGAAGAAAACTAAGGAAGGATAATTTATATTGATTAATATTAAGTAATGGTATACATTAAGAATGCCTTGGATATAAGAGTTCAGAGATCCAAGAGGAATTGAATGGAAAGAGTATAGTACACAATTATATTTGACCTTAATCTATAAAGGTATGGACTAGAGAGAATAGGTTTCTGGATATGGTGATATCCAATGAATAAGTTGTTTTAAGATTTCCCTGAGTTTGTTAGACACAGACTAGGAATAAGAGTTTCTGGGCAATATGACCCCAAGTTTTGTTTATTTTATTTTAGTCAGTTGAAGTGTACTAAGAAATACGGATTGGTCAGAATAAATGTTAGGGTAACATTAGGACAATCCTACTTTTATTTTAAGATGTATTACATTAATAAGTCATCACACTGCTAATGAAGAGAGTGATGCTAATAAATTTAAATTATTCTTTCCAAGTTTTTTTAAAGTAAACCATGTTTCTGTTGAATGAAAAATTTGTTACTACAAGGTGGAATTTTAGTGAAAATTATAATTATGTAAACAAAAACAAATCTATGATAGAAAGATTTCTGGGTGGAGAATTTCTAGGACAATAAGTATTGTCAACACCATGAACATTATTTCAAGAATTATTATAGAACTTCATGGTTGATAACACATCCTTTGAATGAGACTTATAAGTAGTGTTGATATATTTCAGGTATTGAGAATGAAAATACTATACTATATAGGTATCTGTAGGAATATGATAGTGAAGCACAGTTATTATTATCTAGAAAGTTACGATCTTAATTTTGTTGTCTACAAAGACATGACTGTACCTGAGCAGGTAGATATTTTTGATTGCTTTATTGTTTATTGGATCAACATTTGTAAATATTTTATTTTATTCATTTATTATTGTTATATATATGTATATATTATGTTCAAGTAGTTATTATGTAACATGGATATCAATACATAGCTGAAACAGAGGGAGTTTGAAGTAAAGTAAGCAGTATGAGGGATAGAAACTCGACCTTCTAAGAACTCTCATATAATAGAAAGTTGTGACTACATCTTGTTCTATGCTCAATGAATGTGATACAAGTGATGTATGAATGGACAGGTTAGTGACATTGTGTTATGGTTTTAAAACAAACCATAAACAGAGGGAATGTAGAATATTTCATATTCTATGTTTCTATTGATTATATATATGGATGTGTGGATTGACATAAGTAACAGATGGTATCAATAAGTCACAAGGCTTTCTTTGTCCGAGAGCTCTGGAATGTGGATGTGGGGGTTTTGTCCTTATATGGCTAGAATTATATGCTGACGTTAGTATTAGCACATCTTTATAGTAACAGAGGGACACGAGGTCGCTCTCGGCTCTGTACAACGATGTAACTCTCCCATCAGAAGTCCAGCAATTACCATCTGCTGTTGAATGTCCACTATCCTGTAACATCCTTTATTATGTTTTATTATGTATCCGTAACAAAGAATAAACCTGAAGAAACCGTAAGTCAGATTGCGTATTACTAATTTTCAATAATATAGACATATATTATTGTGGCGAGCATTTGGCCCAAGAATAGATATACAAAAGAAGTATATATATCAATCGAAGACAAGAAGAAATTAAGAAGATTCAACATTAACACCGTTCCAAACTACATTTTACAATATCATAGTTGAATAGTCTCATCTCTGCTACAGAAATGAACCAGGACATATATGCTGAAACCCAGGGATTGGGACATAAAAAACCCCTGATTAAGTGTGCAACCTTAAATAAAACTTTCACACATCCTATGTTTAAGTCTATCCAACTGGTATAAGAAGTACACAAAGTGTGCCTTAATAGAACATATAGAACATTTTTCCCACTTGGATATAGTCATGGTGGATCTATTAACCTAAATATGAAACCAATTGTGATAGACCTGGCAAACTGGCTCAGCATGAGCCGTGCACAGCCAAGATCCCCGCGGGAGAAAAACCCGCGAGCCCGCGAGCAGGTGCACCCTCTAGCGGGTCGGATCCATGTGGCTCTGAGGGAGCCGGCCGCGAGGTGGCCACGTGCGTGAGCGGGTCCGGCCGCCGGGAAACTCGTGTACGGCCGCAAGAGACCGCGGGCGCCGGTATGCTCACACTGGAGCTCGGGGAGTCAGAGGAGGCAGCCAAGCGGTTGGTCTCCTGACACACCGAGCGGAGCGCCTGTAACCCGGCTAATAGAATGGCGCTAGGGAGTTGAGTGGGGGGGAGGCAGGGAGAAACAAACTGACAGGAAACCCCAGGAACCCCCTAAAACCGCCACATGAAAGAAAAAACATCCCCAAGAACAGGGAAGCAGGAGTAAAAAATGGGTAGTAATCCCGAAATAAATATAAAACAAAATACAATATATAACTAACAAATAAATAATATGAAGTAAACTATAATGGATAACTAAATACCATAAACATAAAATATATGAGAAATATAAAAATGATATCAAATAATATAAATATAACTAAATACAACATATATATAATATAAGTAATAGATAAATAATCGGAAGCAAACTACAAAACATAGAACTAAATACCAGAAACAAAAAACACATATAATAAATATAATATATAAATAATAAATCCTAAATAAGTCATACTAAATCCCAAAGCCACCCACTAATAGCAGGAGGCAGTGGTACTCTGACCTGTACTGACTGCGGAGCAGCAAAGAAAGAGGAAATGATGCATGGGGAGGGGAGTTTTATAGTACCTAACTTTTTTCTGATTGGTTGTTTTTCTGTGCTGCTGTGGAGTTCTGGTAAAGAGAGACTTAAGCAAATATGAAGCCTCCTGTCATGTTACAAAATTCACTGCCAAACACAATGTATATGTAAAGCACAGAGCAGACTGTGTGCCTTGTGTTGGGAGTTTATTAAGATGTTGATTTGGTGTACTGGATTCTACAAAAACACTGCTTTAACAATATATTTTTTTTTATTTTAATAATTTGCAAATTTATACAGATAGTGTGCAAATGTTGTAGCTAACATTTAATCTGAAATTTTCCTTTACTAGGTCTATCTTGCAGATTACTATTTTGCCTTCCGCTACTGCCCTGCCGGAAAACATGTTAAATACCAAGATGGCAGCAAAACACCCCATGCGGGTTCTACTGAATTTATTAGCATGGATGTCCATAAAGGAGCTGGTATGGAATGCTGAACTACATTACTTTTTATTAATGTACAACCTTTGTTAGAAAATCATGTTATAGTGCAGTATATGACTATATAAAAGTGTACCTTATGTCAAGAGAACGCATTATGTGCCAGTATACTGTTGACCCTTTGCAGTACCACAAATATATTGAAGGAACTGTTACAATATCTCATTAGTTGTGTACAACAGTGGAGTTGGTCAGAACACAATATAAAATTAGGACTTCTAAAACAAAACTTGTCACAAGGCAATAAAAAGAAAAGTGAACAACAAAACTGGGGAGCAGGCGTTTGGTTCAATTCCAGAGAAGGGAAAGTGTTAAACCAGGGGCACCAGGAGAAAGCTGCTAATGGCGGCTGTGGAGGTTAACTCCCGAAAAGGGTCACCGACCTGGACCATAGACCAAAACAACTTAATTTAAATGTACCTTTCTGAAGCCAGTTTAGTAAATGTCGAGTCACTGTTTGTCTGAGATCATCAGCTGACCATCTTAGCCAATCAACGGTGTCCCTACCCTGGGGCACTCCGTGCACTGAAGCCGGATGCCACCTGGGGGTAGTGGATATCGCCAACGGAGGCAACTTAGGGGATAAACCATTTGAGAACGGCTTACACCCTGAGGTAAGAGTGCCTCCGGGGGCCACCTGGCACAATAACAACTTCAACAGACAAGGTGAGCTTTTACCAAAATCTGTGGGGGCATATCCAGCAACTTCAGGTGAGGGCAGGGAGATATTGGGATGCCCACCTTTTTCTTTTTTTTTCTTTTCTTTTTTTTTTAATTAATAGCCTCTTTCTGCATTATTTTACGGGGCATGGGGATTCTCTAATGACTGGGCAACAGTGGCCGCCCAGTCACTGTTTTTGTTTTTTTATTTATAGTGAGCAGACACTGTTAATATGTCCCTACCCATGACATGGCAGGTGGGGGGGAATAAGGGACGTTTATAATCTCCCTTATAGTAATATGGTGGTTATATTGACCCTCATGGGCCTATTTATTTATTTTTCTTTACTTTAATGTGGCCACATGATAAACCTTCGCAGTGCCAAGAGGATTTTTAACTATTAGTGTAATTCTGAATGGAGCCCTGGTTCCCAGGCTATTATACATGGATTGGGTGCTGAGCGTCTCCCTTGAGCAGCCTGCTGCCCACAGAAATCATGACAGAGGGCAGTCACTCAGCTGCGATTTTAGCAAGTTATTTCAACGGCTCTGCATAGAGCTCAACGTTCTCTCTGGTGCCACTAAAAACCACCAGAGCTGACTAACAGGAGTTCATTCAGATCTTGGGTTAGTGGTGGAAACAGGGTTTCCCTTGCTCACACTGCGCTCTTTTAAAATACATTTAAGTGCTTATTTAAAGAGCTGTTTGCAGCGCTGAATTCCAGCACTACAAGCAGCTGATGTAAAAGACGGAGTCCACAAAAAAGGGCCCCGGCAGACAGAAGGTAGCCCCATTGACCTCTTGGGCTCCCTGGAGTGAGAAGGGATTTAACTCTGCACACACCAAATATGCAGGACGTGTCATTACTCCCTAAAGGCAATAAGGGGTTAATGAAGTGATTTTGGTAATAGATGCTAAACCATGCAAACTTGCAAATAAAAAGTACGGTTTTCTGAAAAACAACACTGTTTACATATTCCAATTTCATCATTCAGGCAGATACTGGGAATCTCCAATATAAATAGGTTCATTTTTGAATCTATTTGACTTCTAGCATCAGCATGTAAAGTACACTGATGCTAGTTGTGCCATGCATCCAATCTTAATATTGGATTGGCGGATCCAATCCAGCATGTAAAGTACACTGATGCTAATTGTGCCATGCATACAATTTTAATATTGGATTGGCGGATCGTGACTATGGATGTGCATGTGGAATGTGTCTTTAATATCTGAGATTGATGGGATTTAGCTGAAAGTCATCAGCATTGATGAGTCTGTCTCTCTGAAATGAAAAACATTTATAGCAATTTTCATCAATTTTAGGGGCCTTAAACAGGTTAAGAAGCACAACTAAAAACATATTACAAGGTTATTCACTAAACACTGGATTTTGTACAAAAATGACAGATTTTATACCACATTTGTTATTTTCAGATTTATTAAAGCCAAGTGTGGTCGCAGATCATCAGTCACTTTCAAAAATAAGTTTGAAATATAAAAATAATAACTTTGCCCGCTGCCGCTGCTGCCATCCGCATATAGTTTGGTTGAAATCTAAACAAAATTCAGGTCTGTTAGGGACCTGCTTTACAAAATCCAGACTGATAAATTCCATCAACAATATAGAGATTTTGTAGTCCAAATGACCCCATATGCATCCAGATGGTTCATTAAGACTTTAGTGAATAACCCTGTTAGTGTTCCTGTAATATTTTTAAATTTACACAAGGCATGTGAAATTTGTATTCATTCATGTGGATCACTTGTTATTGATTGGTGTTAAATATCGTCTAGCATTTCCCTTATAATATTAGCACTCTTTAAGGGATTAGAAATTAAAAATGGGATACCTTATGTTATTTGGTGTCATCTTGAACATTTAAAAAGTTGCCTTTCTTCAAGAATTTACATTTTGCTAACATATAGAAGGAAAAGGTGTCCTGAGCAGACAGAGAACATTGCCTTTCATGCATGTTTACAGTATAACTCTTTCATATGCACACATGCACGCTGTGACTTGGCAGTGTACACACACACACACACACCATAACAGCGTATTTTTTCCCCAGATGATATCAAAGGGAATGTGGTGGAGTTTAGGTGCTGGAGATTACCACAAAATAAATGGATTTCAAAGGAAAGATTGCAAGGACAGCTTCAGAGCCTTTCATACTTCTATAACTACTGAAATGAGACAGTAGTGGCAATGTGCTCAGTGCTCCTTTTAAGCATTTCTGCGTGTAGGAATTGGAAATCAATGGAATTGCCTTGACTAACATATTTGTAGTTTTAATTCAATAATGTAATATAATAGCTTAAAACTAAATCTAGTAATATTTCTATATCCACAAATGTGCTATTTGGCTACAATATAGAAATACAAATATATTACCTATAGTAACACTGATGCCATATTAGTATTATATTCCTCTTACTTACAATTGTCACAGCATTTTCAGTATTTTATTATCAAATTTGATCAAATGCATTTAAAATGGTCCTGTTCAACGTTTCTAGCACCATCCCGCCGCAGTGACATGGAGTCACTGGGATACTGTATGTTAAAATGGCTATGTGGATCTTTACCGTGGACTGGAATAACTAAGGCTAGTGACATAATGGAAGAGAAAGACAAGTAAGTAGTCCTAAATCACAATGTATCAATATGATAAAAAAAATACTACAATTAGGTGTTTAAATAGAATGGAATGGGAAAAAAAGCATAAGTGAGCATTTATTTTATTGACTTAAAGTAATGAAGTAGATAAGAACACTGAAGAACTCCCTCAAAGCTAACTCAGTTTTTTCCTTAAATAAACTGTGTTCCCCTGGCTCTATACCTTCCTCTCCAGAATTCACCCGAAGCGCTCTTCTCGTGGCAGCCATTCGGCAACGACCGGACGGCCCCAGCGGCACTTATTCATAAGTGACCTGGAACGGAAATCGGCCACTCCACCCACACTTTTCCGTTCCTCTTTACCCCTTGTATTTTCACCTTTCTCGACCAGCCAGGAGAGCACTAATTGGAGGAAGAATACCCTAGACTAGGGATAGGCAACCTTTGGCATTCCAGATGTTTTGGATTATATCTCCTATAATGCTCTTACACCCATAATGCTGGCAAAGCATCATGGGAGGTGTAGTCCAAAACATCTGGAGTGCCGAAGGTTGCCAATGCCTGCCCTAGAGTAGACTATGATGAACCAGAGCCCCCATTTGTTTGTCCGCAGGAGCTCGCGACAGTTGACCGGCCACAAGGACAATTTGCTTGGAATTATTTTGGTCTTCGCCCACTTGTGGGGTCGGTCAAAACTTTACCCTGGTGACAATTTGACTACACTGCATACATCAAACTAATTCTCTTATGGACAACGTGGGTGCTCAGATCAGGGCTATCCAGGGATATAACATACGTGGGATTCCTGCCTGTTTTCGTTGTGTTTTACATGTACCTCTTGATTCCGGAAGATAAGTGAGTTTGCTTTTGCTTAAATTAATTATCTGCCAAACACATATTCCTGGGAGGGTTTTACTGTGTTATAAATAATGACCAATGCTGCAGGTTGGGATATATAACCATGCTTCTTGGCCTAGTAAAACCAGTTGTTTTGTACCCTATATCAAGTCTCGACTGATGTTTGGGTATACGGGAGATATAGCGCTATAATCACTGAAGCCATGCGGGAATCAGGAGAACATCAGACGGACGGACCACTCTGGGTATAGACAAACTGTCACAAACACATTCACAGGACATTTACTAAAAAAGAAATTAATAGAAAAATGCAATAAAATTAAATAATAGGCTTGGAAATATTCTGCTACTATTCATTTTCCATCTTGGCTTGTTTGGCCTAAAGCAGGCTTCCTCAAACTGCGGCCCTCCAGATGTTGCTGAACTACAACTGCCATGATTTTATGAATGAAATAGGCTGAGAATCATGGGAGTTGTAGTTTGGCAACATCTAGAGGGCTTGAGTTTGGGGAAGCCTGACCTAAAGGATTGTTCTGATGTTCTAAATGCTCCTGTTGCTTTTATATTCAAGCCTGCCTTGTAGAAAATAAAACAAAGTAAAACTGACAATTCATCCAGCAGGGTCCCTGACTCACCTCTACTGCTTTTCTTGATGCACTATTACAGCCAATCAAATTTTTCTCTACGGAGAAGCAATGAGTGCCCTACGGCACATGAGTGTCAATTGCTGCCCTACACATATAGGATTATCTTCCTAGAGATGCAATACAGTGCTACTCTGTGGAAAGACATAACTGCACTCTGCATCATCACGATGCCTAACTTGATGCCACTAGAAGCACACTGGTTGACAAATGTGAACATTTGTGTTTCTCAGAAACTTAAAGGGACACTGTACTCAACCAGACCACATCAGCTCAATGAAGTGGTCTGGGTGCCAGGTCCCTCAGGTTTTAACCCTTCACGTGTAAACCTAGCAGTTTCAGAGAAACTGCTAGGTTTACATTAGGTGTTAAGCCAACATCTAGTGGCTGTCTTGCTGACAGCCACTAGAGGCGCATCTGCGATGCTGGATGAGAAAGAACGTCCATAGGAAAGCATTGAGAATTGAATTCAAAGCATTGAGCATTGAGCTCCATTTGGGGGCTGACGTCGCCGGGGGAGGAGAGATCACCAGCGCCCAGTGAGCCCGGCACTGGATAAAGGTAAGTGGCTGAAGGGGTTTTAACCCCTTCAGCCCAGCAGGAGGGGGACCCTTAGGGCGATGGTCCCCCAAGGATGACATAGTGTCAGGAAAAAGAGTTTGTCTTCCTGACACTATAGTGATCTTTTAAATTTGTCAAAGTGCATCTAGACAGCAAGACCACTACATTAACCTGTAGTTGTATTGGTGCTTGGAGTGTTCTTTATAGAATTTAAATACATTGGTCAGTTCTCGGTTTAGTGAATAACTGACATTTACAGACATTATTAGCTTTGTATCCTTGAGATTATTTATCAGATCATGAACTCAATCAAGTGATCTGTGCAAACAGAATTCATTGAGTATTTCTTTTTATATTTTATAGGTTTAAAAATGATATTCAAGTTACTCTTAAACAGTGCTTCAAAAAGAAGAGGGTTCCAGGTATGTAAACAGCATGGTACAAAGAAACTTTAATTTTTTTAGGTGAATGTTTTTGAAAAGATAAATGACAGATAGCGTCATAGGATGGTGCCAAGGGACGCCAGAAACTCTAACCACCCCAATAAGATAAAACATTTACAGTGCCTTCAGTGTCCCTTTAAGTAAAGGACACTGAAGGCACCTTACTTAAAGGGACACTGAAGGCACTGTAAATGTTTTATCTTATTGGGGTTGTTAGAGTTTCTGGCATCCCTTGGCACCATCCTTGTATTCAGCATTAAACCATTTTTAAAGTTTATATGCCAGTTGAGACTTCCTGGCAGCTCATCATAAGCCCCTCTATGCTGCTTGGGCTATTGAGGAAGCACTATCAGGAGCAGCAATGGGCTACTGTAATAAACGGAGAGTGTCAGCTGACCCACTGCTGGTACAACATGGTATGGCTAGAAAGAATTGCGCAATCTCTGCCTTAGCCATACTTCCAGTAGGCTGTCTGTGGGTGGCCAGAGATCCTTAGTGTTAAACGTATTGAAATTGGTTTAAAACTAATACGAGGAACAAAGACAGTGTGGTCCATACACTACCAACATTTCATTGAGATTAAATGGTACTTAATATTAATAGTACTTTGAAAAATAAACATCCCTGGCTTTTTGTATTTAGTGTCATTGCTGTGCTTGATAGGTATCCACTACTGCAGTCCCTGGTTCTTTGCAGAATAATTCAGGGCTCGCTCTAGAATTTCTACGTTCCCCTGCCTCCAATTCAATAAATAAAGAATTTTGGACAAACACATTTATTTAATTTGAGATCATTTTTTTTTTTTTTTAAAGAAGTATTGAAAATTTACCTAGACCACGTTATGTGTCTGAATTATGAAGATGCTCCTGACTATGACAAGCTTCGTAATACCCTATGTGATGCTCTGGGCAAGACAGATCCTTACGATGCAGTAGCTGTATAGACCAGGTAAAGGAGATATGGCAGCTTCTACATTGCATGTGTATGTTTGTCTCTGTATACAGATGTTTGCAGGTGACATTTTTGGATGAAGTTTTAAAGTGATTAAATATCATGAAAAATATTTTAATATTTAGTATTTTTTTTACCTATGTATTCTATTTTAATATTTTTTAAAACTTTATCCAAAAATATTAACTTATTTGAAAAGCTTACTCAACAAGATTAAATCAAGGCCATATTTACAGTCTGAAACTCCTCTATAGAAGGATTTGGACAAATGTGGCACTGTGTGCAAGACAGGCTACTAAGATCCAGTACACAAATGTAAATGTACACACTTTAGGAAGAAAAATAAACTTGTAAGTTAAAGCAGAACTGTCGCTTACAGAAACTGACAGTTTCTTGTTCTGTCACCCCAGAAACACTATTTCTGGGATTACTGGGGTAAATAATGCAGTAGAGGGAAGAAAGAAAAAAAAGCATTTGTAGTACTTCCATGCTGCAGCAATTCACTGTACCACAATGCCTTGAAACCTGTGTCCTTGGGCATCTAATGTACGTGCATGCTTAGAATCTTCTCCAGTATTGCTACACATATGCATGTGCTATATGTACATCACAGCAAAAGTTAAAGGAGCACTATAATGTCAGAAATACCAACATGTATTCCTGACACTATAGTCCTGAAGTTGCTCTTTAGGTGATTGGCCCTGCTCGAATCACAATGAAAAGGTGATTTTACTCAACTTTTCTTCCATGCGCCGCTGGTCTCGCCACAGATGGCCCTACCTCCATGGCTGAGATCAGCCAATCCAATTATTTCCCATAGGAATGCATGTGTGGCAAAATGCTGTACTACACCAAATCAGCATCTCCTTATAGAGATGCATTGAAGACACTGAATGTAGGTGCTACACACTGTGCAGGACGGGATTAAGAAGAACCTCTAGTAGTATGCACCAATATAAACACTGCCTTTTCTGTGAAAAGGCAGCATTTACATTCAAAAGCCTGCAGGGGCAGGCTATAGACACCAGAACAACTACCGTAAGCTGTAGTGGTTCTGGTGACTATAGTGTCCCCTTGATTTAGTTTACATACTTTCCAGTGCAAAGCCTCCTTAAATACAGCATGACATTGTCAAACAGAACCAATGTTTCTCATAGAAAAGAAGCATTGAATTCAGTTTTGATCCAATAATGAAGCTAAGGTAATTTTTAAGAAACCTGTTCAAGAGTACTGAGTTTCTCATAGATCCCTGCTCACAAAAAAATCCTGCTTTATGGGATATGTAGTTCAGCACTCCGCAGCAGAAAACTGGGAAGGAGCTTCTCAAAGTGGGCCTTGTTTGGAATGCACATGCTATACAAGTACATACATAGCTAAGGGGATGCACGTGCCTGCACCTGCAAATCTCTTGAATTATAAATCTGAAAAAGGGCACACAGGGGCAGGGGATCTTCTTGCACCATGACATATGCTAGGAGTATGCAATAATATAATGCCTTGCATGTATAAATAAATATAGGACCAATGTACTTTTTTGATTAACAAAATCTGTTAAATTAAAATTATGTATACACAATAGTTTAACGTGCTGTTTTTTGTTTTTTTTTCTGCAGATCTCATCAACATTTGACTCAAATTCAATCTTTTTTTGTCTGAAGATGATTTAATGGATGACATAAATCATACTGTGAACTGATGTCACTACTGCAGTTTTTACTGAATATGTAATGTTTTTACTGGTTTTTAATCTGTTGTATTTGTTTTAATTTCATTTAATTATAGCACTGGAGTTTTGAGCAGTCTCCTCGGCTGCCTAACATCTTAAACCTAAATTGCAGTATCACATCAGTGTCTGATACTGCAAAATAATCCCCATGTAATTATTGAAAGCTGTTTGTTTGTTTTTTTTCTGCAGATCTCATCAACATTTGACTCAAATTTGAATCTTTTTTTGTCTGAAGATGATTTAATGGATGACATAAATCATACTGTGAACTGATGTCACTACTGCAGTTTTTTTACTGAATATGCAATGTTTTTACTGGTTTTTAATGTGCTGTATTTGTTTTAATTTCATTTAATTATAGCACTGGAGTTTTGAGCAGTCTCCTCGGCCGCCTAACATCTTAAACCTAAATTGCAGTATCACATCAGTGTCTGATACTGCAAAATAATCCCCATGTAATTATTGAAAGGTTCAGTTCAAATCACAATATTATAATTACCTTTATGTCTGTATACATAAAGCTTGAAGATTATTTGTCCTGAGTGACTTATACCCACTAGCTTTCTACTTGCTGTGATAATATGAAACATTACTGACTACTGAAAGCAGCTGCAGTGTAATGAAAGCGTTGTAATAGAGTTAGAGTATAAAATAGTCCAATTCAAATGCCTTTTAATCTTTATTTGGACACATCAATTCATCTGGGATGAACCTGTGGAGTCTCATTCATAGAATAAGACTCCACAGGTAAATCCTGGACTGATCGACTTGTCCGGATATGAATTAATTAGAAGAATAGTAAAAAATGTTTGGGTTCATACTTATGCAATTAAAATATATTATAATATTATATAATAAAATATTATATTAACAGTAAAATGGATCATATTCCAATGAGTCCCACCTTGCTGCACAACAATTTGCAGTCAAATAGTGAACAATTACATTTTGTGAAGTGTATATATAGAGAGCTATTTTTTTAAAAGACTATTAAACTGATTGATAGGAAAGTTTTTAGGTTTGTGTGTGTAAATCAAGCTTTATTTTTAGTCTGCCATCCTTAAAGGACCATTATAGTGCCCCCACCCTCAGGGTCCCCCTCCCGCCGGGTTCTAGGGTAGTAGAAGGGGTTACACTTACCTCTTTCTCCAGCGCCGGGCGGGGAGCTCTCCTCTCCGCCTCCTCTCCTGCTGAATGCACATGCGCGGCAGGAGCCGCGCGCGCATTCAGCCAGTCTATAGGAAAGCATTGCCGCGCATCACAATGCTTTCCTATGGATGCTGGCGTCTTCTCACTGTGAAAATCACCGTGAGAAACACGGAAGCGCCTCTAGCGGCTGTCAATGAGACAGCCACTAGAGGCTGGATTAACCCATTTATAAACATAGCAGTTTCTCTGAAACTGCTATGTTTATAGAAAAAAGGGTTAAACCTAGCTGGACCAGGCACCCAGACCACTTCATTAAGCTGAAGTGGTCTGGGTGCCTATAGTGGTCCTTTAAGTTTTATGTTGCTATCACTGAGCCTCGAGACAAAAATAATCCTTCTATTAGTGGAGATTATTGTGTAATTTAAAGGACGATGCCAACCACTATAGCACTCTATCCCCCTGTTGTGAGTATTCAAACCATTTTAGAACAATTTAACTTCTTATCTGGGGTCCAACGGATCCTTCTGTTCGCCTCAGCTACATGCCAGGGAGCCAGGAGCTTCGACTGAAGAGCTTCCATTAGCTCTTTTGAGTTAAGCCGCTGGGCTTAGCTCAGAATGCTTATAGCTCTCACTGAGCTAGTGGAGGCATGAGCTCACCTTTCAAATCTCAAGTAAGACATCAAACTGTTCTAAAGGGAACTGTAGTGGTTATGCTGCATGGAATGTTTCTTTTAACCACATAGTAATTTGCGTTTACTCAGTTTAAATGTGATTTTATTTGTTTACATTACCCTTTACATTAATAAAAAGGTGATCTAACCAATATACTTTTGTTGCCGTCTTTGGTTTGCTGGAAAATATTTAGAAATGCAGTGTTCATAATGTTTGTCCTACACAATATGAATACAAAAAGTGTAGAAATAAGAAAAAGCAGTTAAAAGTTTTATACTTTATTGTCCAAAACAAAAGAGGGGGAGTGGGGGGGAGATAAAAAAAAAAAACCTACATACATAAATAGGAATTACCTAAAAGAGTAAATCCTTGCACAGTGATAGCCCATGCAACAGTGTATCAAAAGAATAGTCTGAGACTATGTAGTGTAACTAAAAATATGTTACATGAGAGTCCGATGATATTGGGCAACGGTGTATCAACAGTGCATAAAAAGAGTTTTATACAACAGTATACTCAAAATCATCAATTCAAATTATTAACCTGTGTGGTCCGCCAGATATTGAGACTGTGAGATTAGTGTACCAGCTAAGAAGCTTACAATACACTGCCTTCCGTGGTCCGTTCTCAAGGTGTAATTGAGGTCTGACAGGGTTTATAAAAAAAGAGGTGAAGTTGATATCGAAAAAAGTTCTAGTTATTGGGCTGCAGGCTCATTACACCATATAGTACTCAATATGGAGCGTATGCGGCACAAACAATGCTGGCAATATAATACTGTAATCATGCCATGAGATGATTCCCCACAGAGTGAGATTCTGGGACTCACCAGAAAATTAGCTGAGAATTTAGACTGTATGTATATCTCACCTAGTTGCTCACTAAACTAAGATTCTAAGTGCGGACAAGCCAGTGGGCTAGAAATCTTGTGAGAGAATCGCAAAAAGTATATGAGTACAGGCAAGCCAATCAGGCTGGTGGTAAGTGAGTTAATAATACAGCTAAACTAAGATTCTAAATGCAGTCAAACCCGTTGGCTATAAATCTTATGAGAAAATCACAAAAATTGTAGAGAATACAAGTAAGCGGATCAGGCTGGTAGTAAATGGGTTAATAATACATGACCGTGCACACAATATAACTATAAGTTCTTCTTATGTCCATCAATACCAGAACTGGATAGATAACAGGGAATAAATTCATGGAGCCCTATTTTTCCAGTCACAATAACATTGATAGAGCTATAGACAGAAGAAAAAAGAATAGGTAGAATGGTGCCTTCGTGGGCACCTGGTATAGTAAAGAGATGTATGCAATAGATTAAGTAGAGTAACTGTGTGTGCAGTATTAAAGTAGCAACAATCCTACAAGTTTGCTACTAGATAAATACCCTGGTCGGTAAAGCAATACGGGTTCACTGAGGCGAAAAAACTAAATTATGCAAGTTCCAGGCAGGTCCTTTGATGGTATCGGCAGAAAATAAGATAGCCGGTAAAAAAAAGTAGAGAGAGAATGCCTTTCAGGGACGGATGTTATAGCTGAGAAGGACGGGTAAGTATCAAAGCCACCGACCTACAATTTATCTCATGTTATGTGGATACCCTGATCGGTTCCCAAATTCTTATTTACTTAAAGCTGCTATCAACCGTCTAAATTATACGGGTCACGTTCCGGCGGTATAATGATAGCAGCCAGGAATGTGATAGCGAAGGCAAGGACAGAAAAAGAAAAAAATAATAATGATGCCTCAGGAGCAATGATTAATAGAAGCAGATCGGGTAGGTGTCAGACTCGATGCGCGTTTCGCTTGGATTAGAGGCTCATCAGGGGGAAATGGCTTCCCAATTTAGTAAAGTTTAAATATCCCGCTCTCAAAGCTCATTGGTCAACTGAGTAATGAGGGGGAGGTGCAAAGGTACGGTGGCCGAAAATGTTCAAAAGAGTGTTGGGAGTCTATTAAAATGTTGATATTGTGTCCAGATATTAGTAAATTCAATTACACATATTCATTCTGCAATCAGCAATTCCAAATAGCAGATGTATTATTGTAGATCGGAATCCATCAACAATTGAAGAAAGGAAGTGTTTATACCGAAATAAAGTAGTTGATCAAACCTTCTACAACGAATGTAAAATCCTTAGATCCCGCTTTAAAGGACCACAATAGTGCCAGGAAAACATACTCGTTTCAGCCGGTCCTGTGGACGCTTGCGTCTTCTCACTGTGATTTTCACAGTGAGAAGCACACAAGCGCCTCTAGCGGCTGTCAATGAGACAGCCACTAGAGGCTTTGGGGGAAGGATTAACCCATTTATAAACATAGCAGTTTCTATGAAACTGCTATGTTTATAAAAAAAATGGGTTAACCCTAGAGGGACCTGGCACCCAGACCACTTCATTAAGCTGAAGTGGTCTGGGTGCATAGAGTGGTCCTTTAAGGAACTGGGTTATCCGAATAGTGTCCTAAAAAGGGCCTTTCACCGGGTATGCAATATGGACAGAATACTTAGCCTTAAGTTCTCCAAACCGAAACAAGAACTGAAAGACCCACGTTGTATTGCCATATATGATCAGGGTTGGGGCCCTATGTCTAAAATCTTGAAAAACAATTGGCCAATACTCTTACATAACCCTGTTCTTCGTAAAGTGCTTCCACTAACAGCACGCAGACCCTCTAATCTACAAGACCAACTTGTTCTGAGTCACTTAACATCCTCCTTGCCAGCCACAAATTGGTTAACAGAGACCAGAGGTACAAAAAATTTGGCCACTGTAAGGCTTGTCAGTATATCCTGCCCTCCAAGTCAACGATATCTACACAAACTCACATTTACAACAAAAAAAACTTTAGGTTTTGGTAGGTACTGGCGTTAGTTTCCAGTACCGAGGTATTTCAGGGTCTGTTTACTATTTTTAGTAGCTATTGGACAATTTAGCATATAATTTTGGGGGTCTTTGTTTCCCCTTATAGACCCTCGTTATCCTAGTCTGTTACCTTCTCCTACATGGGTGTTTCACCTATGAAGTGTAGAATGTGTGTAGTCAGGGGCGTACCTAGAGCATTTGGCACCCGGGGCGGATCCTGTGCATTGAATGTGTGTAAGGGGTGCATTGAGTGTGTGTAATGAATGCATTGTGTGTTTCTGTGTGTGTAAGGGATGCATTGTGTGTAACGGTTGCATTGCTTGTGAATGTGTGTCTGTGTGTTTTTCTGTGTGCAAGGGGTGCATTGTGTGTATGTGATGAATGTCAATCTCTCCTCCCGCTCCAATTTCCTTCTCCTCCTCCCAATTTCTCTTTCTCACCCCCTCCTAATTTCTCTCTCACCCCCTCCTTTCTCTCTCACCCACCCCCCTTTTCTCTCTCTCACCCCCCTTATTCTCTTTCTCACCCCCCTTATTTCTCTTCTCACCCCCCCTTATTTCTTTCTCACCCCCCCATATTTCTCTTTCTCACTTTTATACCTCTCCTCACCCCCCTTATTTCTCTTTCTCACCTGTACCTCTTTCTCACCCCCTTGACTTTCTTTCTCACCCCTTATTTCTCTTTCTACCCCTTATTTCTCTTTCTCACCCCCTTATTTCTCTTTCTCACCTTATTTCTCTCTCACCCCCCCTTATTTCTCTTTCTCACCCCTTATTTCTCTTTCTCACCCCCCCTTATTTCTCTCTCACCCCTTATTTCTCTTTCTCACTTATATCTCTCTTTCTCACCCCCTTATTTCTCTGTCACCCCTTATTTCTCTCCTCACCCCATTTTCTCTTTCTCACCCCTTATCTCTCTCACCCCCTCATTTCTTTTTTCTCACCCCTCTCTCAACCCCCTTATTTCTCTTTCTCATTCTCACCCCTCTCTCACCCCATTTCTCTCTCAGCCCCCTTCTTTCTCCCCCTCCCCCCTACCTCCCTGTAGCGTGGCCGAGCCCTGTATAGTCCGCGGGTACAGGGAGCTTTTGTTTCCTGTACCCGGCGGACTAACAGGAAGTGCACACTCAGTGTGCACTTCCTGTTAGTCCGGCCGGGTACAGGAGACAGCTGCTCTCTGTACCCGTCGGACCATGCTGCAGTGAGGGAGCTGACAGGAGCGCTCCCTCCTGTCAGCCTCTCCTCAGGCTGCGCCCGGGCGGTGCGGTCCGCCCTCATGGACGCACCGCCCGGGCAAAGCTGCAGCCGCCTGAGGCTCTTCACAGAGCGCTCGGGGGGCTGCAGCATGGGGGGGACCGGGGTGCTGGTCATGGCACCCCCCACCCGGCTGGCACCCGGGGCGGACCGCCCTCCCGCACCCCCCTTAGTACGCCACTGTGTGTAGTTTAGACTTTTAGTCAGAGTATCTGCCAGTCAGTTTTCTTTCTTAGACTTTTAGTCAGAGTATCCGCCAGTCAGTTTTCTTTCTTAGCTGGCAATTGATACCTGTATTTATTCTTTTTGGGAAGTCTTAGTGCATCTTTTCTTTACACCCATTTCCCTTTCTTTACTTTTCCTGTCCTATTTTTTATTTAGTTTTTTTCCATTAGGATTATTAAAGGTAGGGACCCCCTTCCCTTATCATTACTCTCCTGTTCAGGACTTCTCTAGTCCCCCTTTCTCTGATTTTTTTTATATTAAATATTATACTACAATAAAAAAAAAAAAAAAAAACCTTCTATAGCCTGGTGAAAGCTTTACATCAATCTGCATTGAAAATAACTTGAGAATGTTCTAGCTACTCATACTTATGTGGTTACATAGTGGTATAGGCTGAGAAAAATAATCAAATCCATGTAATTCAACTTGTCACACATTTCTGTATCCACAGTTGATCTACAAGAAGGTGAAAACACATTTTGCCACAAAATTGGCAAAAATGTCAACTTCACGCCAAGTATTAACTATAATATACTATATATACACATTTACACTAAATAAGACTCCACAGGTAAATTTTGGATGATCAATTAGTTTGAGTGTAGATTAAAATTAATTTTATCACATGACAGGAGGTTTCCTATTTTGCATAACTCTCTTTACTAAACTCCACAGCAGTAAAGAAAGATAACGTTTAACCAATCAAAAATGCAGTAGGTAGTATGATATTCCCAGTAAATAGGCTCCTTCGCCTCTTTCTTTACTGCTCCATCGCAGACAGGTCAGAGTATTTTGGCTCTTCCCTTTA